ACGTCCGCACAGTCCTGCTTTTCAGCATGCATGTGTGGACTGATGTGTCCTCACTAGCAGCCTTTACCTTGCAGTTACAGGAGGAAATCCAAGTAGGTCATGGGAGAAGGGATCCAGAGCTATCTATTTTGTCTGAGCAAAGAAGATCTCTAAGTGTAGCTGAATTGGAAGTCTGTGCAGCAAAGAGAGCTTGCAATTGGTTTTCTGCTTTAGATTTTGTCATTGTAGTCAAAATATGGATTTTAATAATGTATGTTTGCGTTACGTATGTTGAAGTATTTATGTTAATATATCTTCCATGATTAGATCATAAATGATTTTGGACCTGCAGTATACTTTGGATTGACTTGTAAATTTTGGATGTGAGATCAATACTAGGTCATTCCTCATGATCAAAATAGGGTTGCATTTACTTTGTAACTGAAAGAAACAAGAAGAAAGACTTCAAAGAAATCTTTCTGGTTTTGAAAACCCATATTTATAATATGCAGAACAACAAACCATTTCCTAAAACATAACTACAGGTCAGCGACTTTTCCATCTATTTTTCCATCACAGTTCCCCTGTGTACTATATTCCAGTTGCTATATTAATCTCTGTCAACTTCTCAGAGGTATTTACTAATCTTCTGTACTTTAATATCACATGCAATCACAGACGCTCTATAAGATTCTTTGCCTACTCATTCTCAGTTAATTAAATTGACCATACTTCGATGAAAGTTGGAAGCTGACACTTGCATGTCCATCCTAAACACTGTGTACTTACAAAATTTCCATATGTATTTATTGTTGTGCTCCATAGACAAATCAAACTCGTCCATGGAGCCCAGGGCATAAAAGTGTGCTGGGCCTCAAGAAAGTGCAGTGCATTGTAAGATGTGGGCAAAAACCAGCTTGGCTCTTCAGAGCTTGGTTTGAGCTTGATTTCTTCTTCAGCATCTCAGTCATGTTCTTTTTAAAATCTGGATACAAGCTGAAAAACAAAACAAACCAACAACCAAAACAACAACAACAACAACAACAACTTTTTTGTTTGTTTCCAAATTATCTCTTTTAAAAAAAGTGGTTTTTCCTCTTTTAAAATTAGCATTTAATTTAAATGGAGAGGCGTTTAGTACAAGAGAAAAGAAAGGTATGGTTGTGGTGAGGAGATTAGAATTGTTGGCTTTCATTTGCTCTTGGCAGATCACAAAAAGAAGAGTTCCTCAAAAAGATACCCTATCTAAAGAATATAAAGAATTCCTAACAGCCTTTGAAGCATGCAGATTCTCTGGGAGGTTTCCAGGAGTAAGCAGCAGGACTGCCAATAGTTCAGCTGACTGGAAAATGAACATAAACACATAAAAAATTACTCTGAACTGTACCCAGGTGAAATGTGCAGCATCTAGTTTGTGTTTAGCAAAACCAGTTGTTTCTCAGAGTTGACAAAACCTTTTTACCCCATCAAAGCAGAAAACTTAAAACAGGCTTTTTAACAAACATGTTATAAGAGCATCTTGTGTGCTAATGAAGAGTCTTAATTACAAATGCCAAGGCAGGATGCTTGTTTAATTAATTCACAAGTTCACTGAGGAATGCGCAGTTTCATTGCTGTTCTTCTGAGTCATGCCATGCTTACTGTTTGCTCTCAGCTCACATAATTTGTAGTTGTGCCTGGGAGTTTGTTTAGGTCTCAGAGCTCCTAAGTTTGAAAATACAGGCATTTATGTCTTTTCCTAGAGGAAGGAACTTGTGATTTTCGCATAATATATAGAAATGGTTGTGGTAGCTAAACTATATGTTGTTGTTTTTGTTTTTGATGCTGACGAGTAGAAATGAGCGGCCTATAATCTTTTTTTTTTTTTTTTTTTTTTTTTTGGATAAATGTATATTGTCATAAGTATCCACATGACCAAAATTCAGTTTTGATGCCACTTTTGAGGAAATTTTCAGGGAAGAGATCAGCAGCAGACACTGATTTCTGCTTAAAACCATAGAGGGAGTGTTGCAATAGCTAATAGTATACCTACATTTGACTGAAACAAAAGGAATGAGGCTTCTGGTTCCCACTCACATGAATATATATATATAGATATATGTGTATATATATATATGTGTGTATATATATGTGTGTGTGTATAGGGAAGATCTCCCAGAGAAGACAGAGGGTAACAAATAGCCATGTGGGTATGGCAGTCCACACATGAATGAACATAGAAGAAAGAGTAGCTTAAACAAGAATTTCTGACCTAGTATATATATGTAAATCTTCAGGGCCAGATTGTGAGCATATGTCTTGTATAGAACGTCCTGGGTCCTTCTTTCAGGACCTACACAAGACTTCCTCCCACAAAGTTATTCCTGTTTCCTTTATATCCAAGTTTCATTTCTTGAATGGACATTCAGGAAAATGCTATCTCATTAATGTTAATCTATTTCCCTCTCATGAGAGAGAGTACATGATGGCAGAGACACACAAGGAATTCCTTTTGGGGAGAAGATAGCTAATTTCCCTTTTTTCCCTCCCCCTATTTATGTAGTTAGCTAGCCCAGAGATCATCCACACCCTGGAGAACTCATTCATTGTTTATATCCAGGCTGGTGGGAAGGTTTGCACCAGCACGAGAAGAAAGCCACTGTGGTCTGTGGCAAGCTGTGATTTCACTCGAAAACATGTATCTCAGCTCCCCAGACAAGCCTCCAAGCAAGCCAAGAGATCAGGGGAAGCTAATATGTTGTGATGCAGACTGTTGGTCTCTTTGAAGACAAGCAGGTGACTGGAAATTTTATGCCAGCTTGGTGGGGATGGATTTTTTTTTTTTTCTCCTACTGAACCAGGAGAACAGGCTGTAATGAACAGATGAGCTTGGCCTGATGTCTGAGCTGCAGCACAAGACCAGGCTCTGGAAGGGGCCTGACGTATTGTAGCTGCTCTGTCAGGTACAGGCAACCCACTGTGGGAAGGAAAGGAAAATCAAAAGGCCTGAGACAGGAATCTTGCAAAGGATTAAGGTGGACCTAAGCATTTTGCTTCTCAGCTTTCTGAAATCTCTTCACAGGTCTATCAGGCACCTGAGGTCCTTTTGTTTCGATCCTTTATGCTAACGTATGGAGGCATAAAGCATGCAGTGGGCTGGCTCCTCCACTGCCTGGGACCTTTCTTCTGAGACCTTCCATTCAGTATTTACTTCAGCATATGCTAAGGGACTTTTAGAAATTTATTACGTTGAACTTGTACAGACTAAAACAGGCCCACTCCCAGCACAAACTCAACAATTTACAGGCATGCACTGAAATGTAATTTTTAATACTAGCCCAATGTTCATTATTTTGCTTAAAAAGAGAGAAAAAAAAAAAGTAAGAACAGGTGCTCTCTGCAAATGTATTTATTAAAGTACCTTGGTTGCTCTGAATTGATTTATGTATGGTAATTACCTTGTAATGTAATTAGAAGGCCTCATACTTGCTTTCCTTTAACTTGCTGCTTTGATGTTGCATATGGGCGTCTATATTGCTCTGTGGGATACAATCCAAAGCTGTCTGGATTATGGCCAAATTACTAATGTGGAGACAAGTTTGGAAAACAGAAGTTTTAAAGACAAGCAGTCATAGGAAGTTTTTTTTTTTTCCTGTCATTCTAATTTTGAAGTTTAAAACACTGATTTACTAATAATTTACTAATTTACTAGTAGTTTTTTTTTTTTTTTTTTTTTTTGCCAGAATTTACCAATAACCAGTGATGGTAGCAAACTTTTACCCTTTTTTGGGTTAGGAAAAAGACCTCTGAATGTTCATCTAGAAGAAAGATAGTTTATGGGAGGTCATATGTAAGCAGAAATTTTGGGAACCTCTACGTTTCAAAAAGGATCTCCTGGAAAATCTCTCTCAATCCAATCAAACTGTTCAAGTGCACAGTGGGAGTTTACAGAGAAGCCAGATTTCTACTCACGATAGTTCCCTCTTCTGAAAAGTGCAGTAAAATCTACTGGCACAAGGTCCAGCTTTTAATCCAAGTCATTTTGTTTATATTGAAGACCAAAATTGTGTTTGTATCTCAGTGCAAACACAGCCACAATTATAGGCAAACAAAATGACCCGCTTACAGCTGATTAATCCCAGAAAGTTCCTGAAATATAAAATGAACAGTAGACGAGTTGTATTTAAGGAGAGAACTTGTACCAAGAAAATTTAAAAAGGAGAAGGAGAAGGAGAAGGAGAAGGAGAAGGAGAAGGAGAAGGAGAAGGAGAAGGAGAAGGAGAAGGAGAAGGAGAAGGAGAAGGAGAAGGAGAAGGAGAAGGAGAAGGAGAAGGAAAAGGAAAAGGAAAAGGAAAAGGAGAAGGAAAAGGAAAAGGAAAAGGAAAAGGAAAAGGAAAAGGAAAAGGAAAAGGAAAAGGAAAAGGAAAAGGAAAAGGAAAAGAACTCATTCCCTGGACCAAACTAGACCAAATACAAGTATTTTTAAATCATTGTTTATGGGGATGATTCTACACACAAAATCCAGCTTTCAATAATTAAATATGTGGCATTAATTCATCCTTGAAGATAATAGTCCTAAAGTTGATTAACTGAAAGAAAAAGAACTTTTCAGCCATTTCTGGATTTCGGATTTTAGCAGTTTTAGAGAAGAAGACAGAATGTGTGGTAAGAAAAAATAATGGACATATTGCAAAAAGCAAATTTGTAGGTTTTAGAGAGGGAAATGATCCTGTAATCCATTCAATTATCCATGTAATCTTAATTCTCTTGTCTTGCTCATGTATCTATTTATAGCATTCCTTGCAATAATGCTTCTGCCTCTGACTGTCGGGAGGAATTTTGGAGTAATTGCTTCAAAATTTACTATTTTTCCTATATATTTCTGTTAATATTCATAATTATGAATATTTAGAATTATGTGCCTTGTACTGAAATTCCATTAGAAGTGCTTTTTAATAAAACGATGAGCCACTGAATAACCTAGAAACACCTGGACAGCATTAGGTAATTTTGATACGCCTCTGTGCATATAACCCACAACATTAAAATAGTTTTCATTTTATTGCAAAATTAAACTTAACACTCCGCATTTTTTCTGTAAAGCTCACAAAATAGACCCTCCGAGATCCCACAAGCTCTTTCCTCAAACGGTAAATATTCACCATTTATGCATCTGCAGCATGGATCCCTTCTGAGCACTACCCCTCCATCCCTCTCAGCTCTCCCTTCCTCCAAGCCTCTCCACCAGCTCCTCCGTTTGGCAGCTCCCACGAGGTGCCCTCAGCAGCAGCAACCCTACCACAAGCCCCGCCGTCCTCCTTCCCTTGCCTGCAGCTTCTGCAGGCTGAGGCTGTGAGCAGAACACCACTCGTCGCAGGCGCTTTGAACAGGGCTTTCACATCGTAAATACAGCGTTTGTGATGATTTCAGCTTTCTGACAACTCTGTTGCTACCAGCAGCACTCCAAACACTGCACCAGGTGAAGGTAAATGAGGCATGTTTAAACCTGTACATTGGCCTCTCCATTGGACTCCTTCACTTTCGCACTAGATGCCAGCAGAGTACTTGCCTTGCTGGGTTTTTATGTATCACTAGTTATCTGTGAGAGCGTATCTGTCTATTTTGCCTCGGGACAGCAGGCTTGCATGTCCTAGGATCTTGTCTCTTATGTTAACATACAGGTAAAAATGCAGCTCACAGCTGTGAGGTTTTGCTTTGGGGTTTTATTCCACACCCCGTTCTGTAAAACTAGGAGTATTAGTGCAAACCTTCAGGGTAAAACCAAACCAAACCAAACCAAACCAAACCAAACCAGACCAACAAAACAAGCAGTAAAAGAAGATACGCATTGTGTGCTTCAGGTGAAGGAGAAATTTGACCACTCCAACCCTCAAATATCCTTTTTTTTTTTTTTTTTTTTTTTTTTTTCTGGAAATCCCTAAAAATAGGGTTATTTACAGAACAATTAAAACATAAATTTATAAGTTGCTTGAGACTATAGGAAATGCATGTGTACAGTGAACTCCACAACCCCGAGCCCATTACAGAGATGATTCCATCCTGTGAGGAAAGAGGTGGTTTCTGCAAGTCTGGGAGATCTGAATGACGTAGGGTTTGCAGGTCAAACAATCACAGCATGCAGGCAAGGACATGCATTACAGCAGAGCTAGCCCTTTGCTCTCCTTTCAGCCTAGCCATCCTCAAAGAGATGCTGGACAGAAAGACAGGATTTACAATTGCTGCAATGCTTGTTGGATCAGACGCCTGGTACTGCTGGTCTGTTCCTTGCACAGGGGGCTGCAGCTCAGTTGGACCCAAATCCTGGGGGAGCAAAGTAGGAAGACAGTGCTTAAGTCTTGTGGATCAGACTACAGGATGCCTACCCAGCTGGGGTTAGACAAACTCAGGCCAGATGTCATTAATATCAACATACAAACCAGATCTTTTCCGTGAAGTCTCCCCACTCCCTCCCTTGCAACACAAGCAATCTTTTTAATAGTTTCTTAAACAATCTTGATGTGCAAAGCTAATGACAGGTATGACAGGACAGAGAAAAACACCCTCTCTCTGGTCGTGACAAACCCTAATTTTGAGTTGCATGTGTCTCCCGCAGCACACAGAGGTGGGACTCGCCTTGCCTGACTGGCGATGTTCACAGCGCAGCAACCTACACCTGCGCTAGGCCATTAAACTTGGTGACAATCAGATCAGCACGTCTGGCGACATCTTGGGGGCCATCCACCTCGTTCTAAAGACATCCATAGGGTGTGAATCATACCCTAGGTCGCAACGGCAGCTGTGGGGGTGTAGACACCTTGCTGACATGGCCATCCTAATTGCAGATGTCTGAAGTTTGGGTGAACTGAACCCAACCATCACCAGTTCTCAGATTACCCTGTGGTCACGACCACACAGAGTACGGCCCAGGATCTACAGAGCAATCGTGGGACTTGTTTGTCCCACAGTTTATCACACACTTGGGATCAAAATTTGTTTATTGACCTTTATATGGTCATTTTCATTTAGTTCTTTGGTCTCTTTCATTTCTCTCCCCCACCCCAACACGCTCGCACACATAAATCACGTGCACACACAGAGAAAATTAAACCTACAGTAGACATCAGCCCGAGGGCTGAACTAATGTTCCTTGCATACATAGCCATTATGGAAATCGGAACGGAAAATTTCAGCGAGTCACCATCAATAACAACCGGTTCAGACTCAAATGTTTTTGACTTGTTGAAAGCAAGTCCGATCAAAAATAACCTGGAACACTTTTAGACTTGTTGAGAATACTTGTGGGTGTGGTCGTAATATGTTTCGTCTGTGTGCAGGGGAGACTTCCATTAGTTTTTATGCTGTAAGTTTGCCAGGACATACTCGGCTTCATTTGGCACAAATTCCATTAAAGGCATTTATTGTGGACAACAAAAGTGCATGAATATGCTATAAGAAAATGCATCTTTGAACTTAACAGCGCCTTAGCGGATGCACCACTAGGTGCTAGATGGGTCAATTAAAAATGCTGAGGTCCAAAGGTTCTGCAGTCTTAAATGGCTGCACCAGTACATTGCTTCATACCATTTTTGCACAGACCAGTTGCTTTGTAGTGTACAGGTCTGGAAGGGAAATCTTACCGGAAAACTGAAGTCTGTTAGTAAGAAGATTCACTAGTCCTTCTTTCAACCTCTCCATGCTATTGTGTTAGGAATTACACGTCTTTAGAGATGATGAAAAAATAAGTGCAGTTTAGCATCGGTGTGCGCCTTGCTTTCTAAACTCCTTAAATAATAAAAATAAATAAAGGTGGAGTAAAAGGCAATTGATTTGGAGCCTACTGAATCCACCAAACCCTGCCTCTCTGCATGATCTGTCTCCACCCCTTCCGGTCAGGATGATTTGTGTGCTGAGCGTCTCCTCCTCGTCTCCCAATCCCCAGGGCTGCAGAAGAGTTGAAAAGCACCTGGAAACTGGATGGGCAGCAGAAGCAGCAGCTGGAGCAAAACTGCCAGCAGAACGGGTTTTCTTCTTACCGTGTTTAGGGAAGCCTAGCTGGTATCTCACCGAACAGAGGAACCGAGCTGGGATAACGCAGGATCCTGTACTCCAGGTATGTCATGGCAAACTGGTCCACGAAGACTGAGCTGGCAGCAGAGGGAGGCTAACTGCTTGTAACTGTGTTGAGTGGGAGAAATCTGAAATTGCTAAGCAGTCAGAAACAGCTCTTTGAAAAATATGCAAAACATTCAGCAAAAACCACTCCTTTAAAGAAAGACTTTTATTTTGACTTCATTAAAAAAAAAAAAAAAAAGGTAAAAAACAAAACTGCACAAAGACAAGTATTAAGGAGCAGATAAGGTAAAGATAGAGGATATCAACTTTGGGAAAAACTAGATTTTGAGTGTCTGCAGATGCGGCATAGCAATAGGTCTGAGGACAACCCAAACGCTTTTCCCTCTCAATGTCATCATACATTGGCACAAATAGGTAAGGGAGGTAGTACGTTCAATTGAAGCTTTAACTCTAAACTGCCTGACATTGAGGGAGGCATCCTACTTCAGCCACAGTCTGGGGGCTTTCTGTAGGAATTACTGGCCACTATTTTATAGCCAGCAGTAGCAAGATCATGCTACAGGACCATAATTTCTTTTGCCCTTATGGTAATGAATTCCCATTCTTTCCCTTGTTTGGTCCACTGGAGCATTTAGCATTGAAATTAATTACCGCTGGAGTTTAAAATGTTATCCCTGGACCCAGGAAAAAGGCAAACATGTCACATCTTGGCAGCCTTAGTGCAAGGTCCTGGCAAAAAGCAAAGCAGTATGAGATCACGTGCTCCTACCCACTTTATGAGAAGTGGGGATTATCTTTAGGACTATCTTCCTCAGTTTTACCCGATTGTTTTTGAAAGAATATTAGCCTCACCTCTCAAGTATGTTTTTTGTTTGTTTGTTTGTTTGTTATTTAATGAAAACTAAGACTTGACAGGTTATAATCATGTTATTTGCTGCTCCCTACAAATTAATTAGTTTAGGTCTGTCCTGCCATCCAAGGGAGCCCACCTTTGCCTTGTGATAACACTGAATGATTCTCCTCAGTTTTTTTCATTACTTGCACAAAAGCTGGGTGGCACTGAGGAACTCAGTAAACCAAGGAAGTGAGACAAAGAAGCTATAAGGAGGCTTTCTCTAAACCAGCAAAAGGATGCCCTGAAACTCATGGACATCTCTGCTTGTTCCCTGGTAGTAGTAGTTTCCCCTGCTCCTTGCTTTGTGCTAGTGCCTGTGTCTCATCCGTGCTAGAGCTCAGTGACGAGAAGCAGGCTGTAGAGGTGAGGTTCTGCTTGCCTGGAACCGGGCCATGGGGAAAGCAGGAAGAGGAAAAGTGCAATGGATGAAATCGGTGGCAAGAGGGAATGAGGTGAGACAGGACAGGTAGGAAATATCCTGGGTCGTTGCTTCACTACACTGTGTTGCACAGATCAAAGCGGGAGGGAACAAATAAAGCTTCTGACTAAACAGGATCCCATCAAAGACTTCTAAGCAGTTCAGGTGTGGCTGGCTATTTACTATGGTCTTCACAGCCGGGTGCCTGGAGAAGAGCCAGCTGGCTGGGAATCAATCAAGATAGGCCAAAGAAATGATTTCTGGGAAGCTACCAAAAGATAGACAGTAGGCTCTTTCACAACTATTGCAAAGCTTAATGCCTCCTAAGCACTATTTCCTTGAAGGGGACACCATAGGTTGTGCCCTTCTGAACTAAAGGTGCTAATGGGTTAAGACCGTGGCTGCCATCTCAGAAGCCAATGGTGTTAGCTGACTTTGGGGATGCCTGTCAGTTCTTCAAGCAGGCTCTTGCACTTCAGCAACCTCATTCATCTTAGGTTTAAAAAAAAAAAAAGAAAAAGATAGGAAGTACTTTTGCAAAAACAGACATCATTCAAGCATTTTCAGGCTTGTTATGGGGGACATGAGACACTCCCCCACATGTTACAACATCTACTTGCACGTAATGCCAAAGCAATAGAGGTTTTAGTCCTGAAGATCAGGATAATTCATGCTTCCTAATACCAACCCAGCATTCAGATGTTGAAAAAGGTGGGAGAACAATTAACAAGTGTAATTAGCTCTCAGTTATCAGCAGAGGGAACTACTCACCATGTAAGATCACCCATCTCATGGCTATCTGTGAAACAGCTTGATTCTGGCAGTAGTGTCACATCCGTCCAGTTCCTACAGCTCTGCAGCACACTCTAACAGACAGGAGCTGCTGTGGTGATAAAGCACATTCAGTCAAAGTCAGTGCTCTACCTGTCAGATCTGATGACTCCATCCCCAGGGTTAGGAGAGGATTTCTGGTGGAAGAACGGTGTACCTAGATGATACTTTGGGAAGGCCGATTATCTTGGGCATAAAAAAAAAAAAAAAAAAGAAAAAAAAAGTGATGCTATCACTGAACCTGTTTTAATTTAGCAAGCTGCTCCTGAAGACCTAATTGGATTTATTGTACAGATGGATTATAGTACTACTTTTAATTAAAAGATAAGATTCTACTTTTTGCACAGAGTCCATTCCATGCGCCAGACACAGTCAGAACAACTTCTGACTCTAACTTCTCTGGCATTTGCTTGCTTTCTTGCAATCCCTTTCAAAGCCACATGGGCCCAAGGCCTTGCAACCTAGTTTAGAAACCAGCACTACATCCAGTTGCCAGCTGTGCCCAATAGACTGGGTGCCATGGGCTGCAAGAAGCACTGGATGCTATCCTTTTCTGTAGCAGCTGAGTGCTGTGCTTATCCTCACATAATTCAGAGAAACCAGTTTGTGATTCCAGCTGAAGACACATGTGACTGCTACAACCGGTCACTTTCTCCTACATCTGGGGAGAGTACAACATCTGAAGCCGTACCACTTCACACCAGTGCTGACAGAGTTGCATGGGAGCAAAACAAAAGTGACATAAGTGACATGAGACTTAGGACATGCATGAACATATTCTTTGTCATTTTGTAGCTTTCTGTCTCTCTTTCTTTGCAGCTTAATAAGTTATACACTAAGAACGATTCTGCACAGGAACATTGCTTTTGCATTATTCCACTTTCTCCTTTCAGACAAGGATGTCAATATTATTTTCAAAAAATATTGAATTACTTTCTGCAGGCTGCATTTGCCCTTATTTGCCTTAATCTTATATTAGCAAATTAGACTTTCTCACTCTTCTTTTTTCTTTCATTTCCCCCTCCAGGTTTCCAAATGGCGGATCCTTTCCTATATAACACTGGAGAAAGATCTGGATATGGATGCCTTGGACACGAAGTACAAGTTGAGCACATCAAGGCATATGTCTGTAGACCATCTTTTTTCACAGACAAAGCCGTGATTGTGATTCATGATATATTTGGATGGCAGTTCCCAGACATTAGATATATAGTTGATTTGATTGCAGGTCATGGATACATGTAAGCACCCATCTTTACTATTTTTCTGTTAAGAAATACACTGATAGATCACCAGGCCCAAAGCTAAGCATGGTATACATTTTCCACACATGTAGGGCAGCCAGACCATTTTACTCTGTGTGAACAGAAATGTTCCCGTGGCCACCAAAGCTACTGAAACTGACCAAACAGAAATGTCTCCCTGAGCAAAAAGCTAGAAGGAAGGTCATGAAGTGCCAGTGTTTGTGCTTATGTGGCAGTGCAGGTGATTAAAAGATAAGCAATAACAATGTTGGTATGCACTTTTAAGTTATGTAAGTTTGCCATACCAGGCCTTTTGGAGTCCAAACAACAATAAGGGTTGCTTTATCTTTTACTAGCAAAGAGATAAATATTTGTTCACATATAATCAGGAGGGTTGCTCTATCCCTTTACTTTTGTACTGTGTCTTTTTTTTTTTTTTTTAATTTCCATTGCAAGACATATACTTTTAGCTCTGCCCATTGCCAGAACAGGATGAGTAGAATATGATTCAGATGATAACCATGTAGGTGTGTACTCTGGAGTAGAAAAGACATAAGAAAACATTTAGACATCCACATATTCTCCTCACCTGGATGTGAAAGTTGACTTGTTTCCATGTCTCACACAGAACCATCTGCCCAGACTTTTTCAAGGGGAAAGACCCCTGGAAAACTACTGATCACTGGCATGACTTTGCTGACTGGATGAAAGAACATGATCCTGTGAAAGTAGATAGGTAAGATGCATATTTGTGCTTGAATTTAAAAAGCGTTCAGCAAACAAGGGGAATTTATATGTGTCTGAAATGTTTAAAGTGGCACCTGACAGTGAGGCAAGATGGCTGCATGCACACAGTCATTTGTTCTGGGTGGTTCTTCTATGGTCCTCAGCACTGCCTTTGGATTTGGAACAGATCATCTGCTCCATCCATCACTCTACTTACTGTCCCCATCTTGTTTCCGTGGGCCCTTTTCTAACCATGTCATGCTGCCCGCACAGGCCTGTAACTGGTGTTTCACAGCCCTCCCGCTCACCAGTGCTGAGACTGCCTCAGCTCCTCAGGATAAGGAGGAAAACTCTTCCACAAGTGCTCAAGCTATCTGCCACTTGTCACTTGCTCACCTTGCTTTCTGCCATGTAAATGATAGTAGGTGAGATAATCTCCTGAGCAGCACGAGATCAAAATTTGCAAGACTGACCCAAACCTATGAGACATCTGATCAATTGCACTGTTTTTCTCTATTTGTGAAATACAGGAACTACTTTCTGTAGATCCAAGCAGTGCCTGTAACAAAGCTTCCCTGTTTCTTCAGCATCTATTACCACAGCCTAAAACTTGAGATAATGATAGTGAGACAGTGACACCCTATTACTCAGCTATCATCTCATGCAGCACAAAGTGTTTTTCTGGCCCCTTCAAGAGATTCCAGCGCTCGCACCCTAACTTCAATGTCCCTCAGCATAGATTTTGACAGTAGAGTCGCAGAAGCTGAGACTGAATTTTTGGAAAAAACAAATGACTAATACCTATAAAAATTAATTCTACATAACCGTAACTTTCTTTGTGCCATTTCAAATAAACTAGCTCTGAAAGAGCCCATCCATTCACGATGTGCTCCTCATGCAGGCCTAGAACATGATCTTCTGATCATATCACTCTCATACTGCTTTTTTGTCAGCCTAAGCAAACCTGTGATGACCATACTAATATGCCTAATACTTGAAAATATAGTTATTAGTATATGTGGTCTGCATTTAAAATTAATTTAAAATTCTTAAGATAATCAGAAATATAAACTATTGACACAAAGTTAGTAATAAAAATTTAATTGAAAATGTGACCTGCTCTGGTCTACACTAAAACCAATTTTTATACTTTATGCATTGTATACAATACCTCACACAGTTATCTTTAATTTTTAATTTTTAATTTTTAATTTTTTATTTTTTTAAACATTATAGCTGCTGACAGTTTAATTTGGAGTAGTTGCTAATTTGATATAGTATTTTTGCATGTGGGCTTGGTAGGATATTATTAATATTAACTCATGCAACAGGCATGACACACTTAAGATAAAACTTTATCTAAATAGGTGAACCCTGTAGAGATAGCACAGTGAAGCTTATCTATTCCCACATTCCATAAAGTAAGGTGCTATTCTTCTTGCAGATATGTCTCGGTTTTTGTTCTGTACTAAACAAAGCGATTCAATTAAAAAAAAATGCTTCTTTTGAAAACAAAGGAGCGGGTCACAATTCAGGTAAGTATTTTAGTACCTACAACTGTTTATGGCTACTAAACTAGGACCATAGATGTTAACTCTTATTCAAGAGTAGAAGCTACTGCTTTGGTTTGCAATTTGCCTTTTTTTTTTTTTTTTCCTTAATGTATTCTCTGTTTTAAATAATTGGGGGGTGCCGATGGAAAAAAAAGTATCTCTTTTAATTTACTTCTTAAATTGTCAAATATTGATTCTGCTATAGATTCCTTAGTTCCCTTTTGTTTATATGTCTTAGGGAAGCTGATGTTGTCTTGAAGTATCTAAAGGAACAATGCGGTGCAAAGAAGATTGGTATCGTTGGGTTTTCCTGGGGTGGAATGGCAGTACACCACTTGATGCTGAGAAATCCTCAATTAGACGCTGGGGTGTCCCTCTATGGTAGTGTAGAATACATGAAAACTTACATGGGCTGACACCACTATATGTAGTTTCTAAGTCTAGTCATTGCTTTGTAATGATTTCTGTAAATACTAAACTCAAAGGTGAGTTGCAGATTTTAATTATGGTTATTTCAGCAATATGCTATACTGATATCAATATTTAAGAATGGTGTAAAATTAAAAAAAAAAAAGTATTTCCTTTGGCACATAGATTTTCTTTTTCTTTTTTTTTTTTTTTTTTTGGGTTTAGAGAACTGGAACAATATTTTCCCTTTTTTTTTTTTTTTTTTTTCATCCATCAGAATAGAAGCTGTCCTAAGTAAAAAATGTATTTAACAAGTAAACCTAAATAGAAATTTTGTCTTTGAATTTTTCTTTCACCTTGCAAGGATGTTAACCTCACTGACAGACTGTTTCTCAAACACATTACAGGAATAATTAGGGACTCTGAAGAAAGATACAACTTACTAAATCCCACATTTTTCATTTTTGGTGAGAAAGACCACACTATTTCTCATGACCAGGTAAGCTGGAAATGATTTTTATTTTTCCTTTGTTCTTTTATCCTACACAGAAACCATAGCTTGTTAGAAACTATTTTCAGATACAAAAAAAAACCAGACAGACTAGATTGTTTTGCTTCTATTTCAACTCCCCACATATCTTGCCTAGGTTCTTCAAAGCTTCCTTTTGGGGCTGAAAAATGCAGTAAAGACCAGTGATTGGTCTCTCAGTGGCTAGACAGTGTGAAATTGAGCAGGGAGATCCAACTGGTATGAATCAAACACCTTAAAGACATGGATATTAGTGCCATGGATGGGAGAATGGGTAGTAAACCTAATGAACTTGGACCCAGAATGGAAAAAACAAACAAACAAATGAACAAAAAAAAACAGCTCAGAAACAGAACTTTCAGATGATGTGGATCAATGATTAATTGCTTTTGGTACAACAAGGCAAAATGAACTCTGTCAAAAGAGTGGTTGTGAATTTATAAAAAAAGAAGCTCACAACTTGTGGACCCTGTTTTGAATCCTGGATGCCAACTATATTCCTAAATAACCCCTATCATAAGCTCATCTGAAAGGTTGGATAAATACATGGATAGAAACTGGAGCACTCTTCTGTGCATACATTTTTTCTCTTTAGTGACAATGATAACATACTACCTCTTGTGTAATTACAAATTCTTCATTCACCATCCATTTTTCTGGTTAAAGTCGTCCTTCCCCTTCCCCATGGAACACAGTTTTCATGAATACACACATTACACCTTGAAACCATACCTTTTCCTCCTGAGATTTTCTCTCTCAGAGTTACCTGTGCAGTTTTTTATGAAAAAATCCTGAGTTTAATAAAAAACATCCTCAAATGGATTGTTTTCTGCACTAAGTAATAAAGGGTTATGTGAACAAAGAAACATAAACAAGGAATATATTACATGAGGTGAAATACACAATAGGTAGAATTAAGCTTGCAGGGGTGATCATTCTTTTTATTTTCTGAGTTTCTCATGGAAATAAGCACAAAAATATGTGTATATATGTGTGCAGGAAAATAATCATTAACACTGTATGTATACTTAACATCTGAAGATTGCACAAGAGCAATGCCTTTTTGTTGTAAACTAAAAATAAGAAACAGTTTTTTCTTAACTATCAAAATATTTTAGACTGAGAATCATTGGGATTTAGAGAATATGTTCTCTCAAGATCAGAGTTTAAAATCAGGTTACAAGCCATATTAAGTCTCTGAATATAATTGCACCTGTTCATTTACAGCAACGAGATTTGCCAAACTCTTTGCAGTCACTGTTGAGGGTTCTTAGATGTACCCATACTTTTGAAAACCATTTCAGTCTTATATTCCTGTCGTGGTTTAACCCGGCCGGCAGCTAAACACCACGCAGCCGTTCGCTCACCCTCCCCCCTCCCTCTCTGGGACGGGGGAGAGAAATGGAAAGTGAAGCCCGTGAGTTGAGATAAAGACAGTTTAATAAGACAGGAAAAATAATAATAACAAAATAATAATAACAATAATAACAATAATATGGTGATAATAGGGAAATAATAATAATATGTACAAACAAATGATGCACAATGCAATTGCTCACCACTCGCTGACCGATGCCCAGCCTAACCCCGAGCAGTCCGGCCCCCTCCCCCCGGCTAGCCACCCCTATATATTGTTTAGCATGACGTCAGATGGTATGGAATACCCCTTTGGCTAGTTTGGGTCACCTGTCCTGGGTCTGTCCCCTCCCAGCTCTTACTGCACCCCCAGCCTGCCCGTTGGCAGGACAGAGCAAAAGGCTGAGATGTCCTTGGCTTAGTATAAGCACTGCTCTGCAACAATTAAAGCATCGGGGTGTTATCAGCACTCTTCTCATCCTAAGCCAAAACACAGCATTCCACTAGCTACTAGGAAGAAAATTAATTCTGTGCTAACTGAAACCAGGACAATTCCACAGCAGGGTTTTCTCATCTATTGATCAACAAAAACCTGCTTCAAACATAACAGTGGAGAAAAGGCAAAGATGTAGGAATATGAGTAATAGCAAGTTTGGCAAACGTACAAAACCACAAGCTAACAGAAAAATGCTTTCTTTTACAGATTACCTTACTGGAGGAGAAGTTGAAACAGTACTGTAAAGTTGCATATAAAATTAAAGTTTATCCTGGACAGGTTCATGGGTTTGCACAACTGAAGCCAGAAGACATGAAACCTGATGATAAACCTTACATTGAAGAAGCTAGAAAGGATATGATTGACTGGATCAAAATGTTTATTTGACAAAAACCATGAAGTAATACTAGGCCTCAAGATTAGAGTTCAATTTAAATTATAGAGAAGAAATCAGTCAGTTGGAAGATATTTTATTTTGAAAACTAGGAACATTTTAACTTATAGTTCTTTATTTTTTACAAGACTCACAGAAGATTGTGAGCTCAAAGTTGGACTAAAGGACTTTTAGACATTAAAAAGTTGCTTGAATTTATCTTGCTTTGTATTTGCTTCATTATTCTGCATTATGATATCAATAGTAATGAAACTACTTATCCATTCTTCTGTCCTTGTGGGTATGACTTTTCATTTTGGCATTACTTGAGTTACAGTTTTTATTTCGTTATGAGGAGTCACAGGTGCTGTCATGAAGACACCCTGTTTTTGCATGCATGAAGACAATACTTTTATTATCTCAAACATATTTGTTTCAGATATACATGTATTGCTGTACTGAACAGAATTGCCCATGCATTTTCCCATTTCCCATGCATTTTCCCACCATTTCTCTGCAAACCTCAGAGGGCTGAGTGTGTCCAACAACACTACTGCAAGGTGAACACCGTGCTCAGCCCCAACCCAGAGCAGCTCTGGGGCCCTTCCTGGCCTCCCCACCCCAGATACCTGCAGCCATACCAAGTCACCAGCTTTGTCATGTTCAGCTGAACATCTTGGCCCTGGTCCTGCAGCATTCACGCTTCCCAGGGGAGAGCTTTGGGCTTTGGTGCTGCTGTCACCATGTTCTTAGGTAGCCTCAGAAAAATCCTCCAAATATTGCAGGCTGGTGAAGACAGTGCCACACGTTAACATGGTTTTGGTAGTAAATGAGTGTGTGTGTGAGCATGATAAGACTTTTTGCTTATCAAGAAAATAAAAAACCTGAGGTAGTTGGGAAAGCAAAATATACATTTTGTGGGAGCCCCCTCAGCTGGAGCTGATGAGCTGGGTTTTGCAGCTGTGGCATAGCATGTGTGACACAGAGCTGCAGGTTATGCGAGCAGCTTTTACAGAAGAGATGTGGAAAACTCCCAGTACTTTTCCCCAAACGCGCTCTGTCTGAGCCGTTGTGGCCAGCCCAGGGCTTCTCAAGCCCTGCTGGGGAGCCAGGCTCTCCTGCCATTCACAGCCCACAGCTATGGATGCTGTGGCTTCTGGTGCCTGGGCTAAATTGTTGCCAGGCTTGGTTGGTCCACCTTGGTGGTGATGGGTGCCCTCATTTCATTCCTGTTCATTCTCATCTGCCTGCATCTACCTTTCCCCAGTGCATGAGTACGGAGCTTGCAGGCAGTGTGTAAACTCTTCTCCAGGTCTTTGAAACCCTTAATTTGGGCAGGGTTCCCCACACCTGCAGAAAAGAGAGGATGGTTTGCCTCGAGAGAAAGGAGGAGCTTTCTTCATGTAAATCCTAGCTGCCCAGCCCAGACGTAAATCTCTATTTTAGGCAAGATCTGATGCTGATCCTTATCAGAGCTAACTTTTCAGCACTGCATTACAAGCGCTGTGGTTAGCAGCTGTCACAGCCCTACTCACTCCAGGAAATGTCCACAAGATGGGGCCCGGCTCCTTCATTGTCATCGGGAAAACTTGGTGGAGGTTTGGCTCCAACTGCAATAGTAAGGCTCTGAATGGTCCCTGCCTAACACTGCAGTAATGGTGTACTACTCCCAGAGGAGACCTGGCTTACTGGTCAGCAGAAAGCTGCTGCATATTGTCTCTGTACGCAGCAAGGCACTGTAGCCTGATGGATTTTGATAAAATGTGGAATTTCACCTCCTTAGGACTCTCCAGTTTATAAGAGGGAGCTCTGGTTGTGATACACTATCTTTACACCTTGTATTTTATTTTGCATGACTGAATGTTTATTATTTGAAAGATCAGTTTTTCATTACACAGCAAAATCAGGTCATCGGCCTGATAAGCCGATGAGCTGTAATAAGCATGATTTAAGTTGTACTCTGAGTGTGCTCTGTTTATGCTTGCTCATCGTGAGTACGGTCTTTCTTCACGTACAAACAAATGTAAATAAGAGATATACTGAGCTTCCTAGGGAGATTTTAATCATGACAAACAGTACTATTTCCCTCTGATAGGTTAATCTTGTAATTCTCTGTTATTTAAACTTGCTTGGCCAAATAGCTGAGTCACACTAAGATGACCCAGCAAACTGAAACACAACTGGAGGACAAACCTTAGGCAACCTACATATATATTTGATGAAATAGCATCCAAAGAACAGCAGCTAGTAGGTCTGAACCTCTGCCATACAAGCACCACCAGTGCTCTGAAAGGCAGGAGTAACCCCTGCTATAGCAGACTCCTATGGAGACCACTTTTTTGCAGTTTTGTCTCTGGCACACTTAGCTCTAGAGGGCCAGGGCTTGCTGGATGAGAAGATGGGGAGTTGCCACCTTGGTGGTGTGCCAAAGAGGAAGCAGCAAAAGGGCTGACAAGGTGCTTTTGAGCAGTGGCTAAAACAAAGTGAGGGATGAGGGAGAAGGCACGGAAGTGTTTAAAACTAGAGCTGTTTTTAGTCTATTTATTGATACTGGAGCTCCAGTCTCACCTCTGTGGGTGGGATAACAGCATAGATGCTGTTGTGCCATGACCTCAAAATTCACAGATCAGACATAGCCTAAACTAGGTCTTATGAAAATTGTGTTACTGTTTGGTTTTATTTTTATAGGAGGCCTAAATGCATCTGATTTCTTAGGTGGAGATCAAGTCTGAGTACTTCATATGTAAAGAAGTGTTCATGTGTCTGAGGCTTTAGACACATTTGATCCGTGTTTCATGTGCAGTTTCATGAAGAATTGATCTCAACTACAAGTACAAGCAGCTGATCTAAACTGCAAAAGCAGTCAGAACCCTAAACCAACAAACTCCTTCTCATTAACTTTGTGGTTGAATTACACATGGGTGGAAATTATAATTCAATTAATAAACAACTTCAATAATCCTGTTTTCCTCCATTTTTTATTTAATCATGTTTTTCTTAACAGTACCAGATGAATTCTACATTGAGAATGGGTGGAGGAATCTGTTTTTTTTTTTTTTTTTTTTGTTTTGTTTTGTTTTGTTTTTTTCATTGTCTAATCAGCATCTCTATTAATCCCTTTTGTGAACTATTTTATGTAGATTTTATAATCTACATCTATGTCAGTTTAATTAATATTTTATAGCAGGCATTCACTGCTGTTCACAGGTTATGCAGTGAACTCTGGCATGTTTCTGGCAGCAACCTCAGCAGTACAAGATGATTTTCTCCTTTCTATACATAACTCATCAGCATTCTTCAAGTCATTACATGACTAAAATCATACTTATCAATACAGCATATTTCTTTTGTTTACTAGCCTTGGAAATGCCATTATTTTTGTTTAAACACAGCTTCTATTTTGACATGTAGTATTAGGGTACTTTTAAAAGAAACGGGACTTCTACTTAAATATAAATGGATTTTTGCCAGCTTACTGCTCAGATGAACTGAGCAAAGTGAGGGAAAACAGTAAGCACAGTGGTAGGGGAGTTGTTCTAGGTCTGATAAGTTGTACAGCGTGCATTTGAAATCTCTTCCCATTGCTTTGCCTGAGGTTTGGGAAAGGTGCTGGAAAAGCTGCAGTTAGTCTGGTTAAACTGCACTGCATCTTCTGGAGGGTTTTTGCAGGTTGATTTGGAAGGTCAGGAGAGTAGCTCTGTTCAGAAACGGCACTGTGGAGAGCCATCCCTAAGAGGGCCAGTCTTCGGTGCTGGGAACCTCTGCATGTGTCACCCCACAGCACGTTGCCCTGTGAAGACAGAACTGATGTAAAGAGGCAGGATTTGGAGAAATTTGTGGTGCTGTTCACTGTGCTTTCCTGTTTTGGTTTTAATACCATTTACCTAGATATTTATGTACATTTGTAGTAGAGGAATTGAAGAGGGGAGAGAATACTGGAGATATATTGAGGGTCTTGGCTGACATCTGCTAGAATTAATTAGAAAATCCAGAAGGGGATAAATGGTTAGATACATTCCTAGCAAGCATATCTAATCATTGAAAAGCATATTTGAATTCTATTGCCAGCATGCTGGATTTCACTTTAGCAGTGAGACCAGCCAGAACAAGGAATATTATTCCAGTGGATTCATTTACATGGGAAGAGAGACTGTCCCTTGTTAATAAGCAAACATTGCCATTTTGATTTGTTAAGAGTGGCAACAGGATCAGGTTAAACAGCTTCCCAGTATGCCCCCCCCCCCAAAAAAAAAGGCTGTGAATGACTACCTACTGCTTGGTGGAAGGGGGAGAGCAGAGGACCCCAGAAGTTGGCCAGTTTTTTTAAACCCAAGATCCTACAGTGGCCTATCTCCTGAGAAAATCTCCGAGGCTATAAACTGTTTGGAAACCTCTCTTCACTCGAGAAGAAATAAAGTAGTTTCTAGTTTGTTCTTTAAAATGTACACCTCTAGAAATTTAGGTATCTGTAATGTACTCATAAACAACCCTGGTGTACATCCCTGTATTCCTTTTACCATTCTAGTTCAGATTACAGAGTGTGCAGAGAAACCCCTGCTGATTTACCTTCTCTGAGCTGATTTATGGGAACTTTTAGAGATGTCAGTTAACGATGAGTTCCCTGGGAAAGGGCTGTACTCAACAGGTGATACTGGGGGACCAGCAAAGTGCCTGTAAGCAACAGCAGCTTTGGATTCCCCATAAAAGAAGAGAAAGGGGACACACACAGTGAAAACTACAAGGGAAAAGTAGTCAGAAGAGCAGCTTGCTGACAGTGGAGTCTCACAGGAATAACAGCAAAAGACAATCATGTGCCAGACCATGAGGAGGAGGTGGAAGACCACAAGAGAGGCATGGTTTATTGGGAGTTCACATGGAAATGTAGCTAGCACAAGTTGGATTGCTCCAAGCAGAAAGATAGGAATGATGGATTGACATGGATTGACATGAGCCCTTCTTATGAGCTTATTGCACACTATGGTTATGCTGACTGACTGGAATTCATGAATGACAACCAAAGAGGGCCAGCGCCAGGAGCTGCTTTACAAGCTGCCTAGAGCTTTACTTCTAACCTTGTGGTACAAAGTGCATTTTACTAGGGGTATGTGGGGACTGCATGAAGATTAAGACCTATAATCATAGTTACTGATGCAAATAAATTACATTACTGTTTGTCCTGGTTGCTTTCCTGCAGATTTCCAGATGGCTAATGAATCGAGGCTCTTCCCATGTGATATCGGAGACAGATTTGACTATGAGTGTTGTGGGAAAGAAGTACAAGTTGAGCACATCAAGGCATATGTCTGCAAACCACTTGCCAGCGCAGTCAAAGCTGTGATTGTAATTCAAGACATATTTGGATGGCAACTCCCAAACATGAGATACATGGCTGATATGGTTGCAGATAATGGACACATGTAAGAAATGTTTTCTGCAAGAAATCCCACTCTTTGTGTTCTACCATTAGAAGACAAAGGAGACAAAGGCATTTAATAAGTGAAAGATAATTCGTTTCCCAGGGATCCCATTGCTGCCCTGTGGGCTGGGATGGGGAGAGCACACAGCAGTATCAAAGGGTGGCCTAATGATGGCAGCCTCAAGAGTCCCTGTTCGTTTCCTTCTAGTGAATGCATGACCCTGACTCTTCTGCTGGTCATGCAGCACATCTCAGGTCATCCTGAGCCAGGGTTTAGCTACTCTCGTGATGCAGGAGCTCTTCAGTACTGAGTGGGATCTTACTCTACATCTCTTTTTCCAGTCACCAAATGATATCTGCAGTAAAGCAGTCAGTCCATCCTTTTTTTTTTTTTTTTTCCCTAGCTCATAAGCAAGCCCCATCATGTGCTCTGTGGTAAATAGCTATTTCCTGTAGCTGCTTTTGTTTATTTTGAATGCTTTAATGGTGGATTTATGTTAAGTGGTATAATGTTGTATGCAAAATCTAAAATTGTAATCAGGACCCTCTTTGATCATTTCTCATTGAAACATTGAAAAAAAGCATATATATATACTTAGAAATGTTTTGTAAAGTATATAGGCATTTCTGTAGAGTAGTTAACAATGGTATTTAAAAACATGACTTTCTTGAGGAAAAGAAATAAAAACAATATTTTGCTTGGGTAGAAGCTTTTTGTTGTATGAAGGGCTACAACAAGACAACCCTTAAACAAAAAGTCTAAGGGTCGATGAATTTATTTAATTTTGATTTTGTTTATGTGTGTCTGCATGTGCAGAGCCATCTGCCCAGACTTTTTTTGCAGGAAAAGAAGCGTGGAAGCCTTCTGATCCAGGCTTGATGGTTGGCTGGAAACTCGAGATCCCAGAAAAAATAAACAAGTAAGGTGTCAGGGAACCGCATATCACATCGACTAGAATCTGTAAACCTTTAAACCCAGGGAGGGATAGTATGGATAGTACCCCACAGCCATTTGGCTGTTCTTATGACAGACAACTCTCATGTCACCTCCGTGAAGAAATTGGGACCACTGTGAAACAGAAGCTAGTGCTTAACACCTGTAGCAGTCCTCAAGGAACACCACTTAAACAGTGATCTGTGATCTACCCTGGCTTCCAGTTAGCCTGGAATTAACCTGATGTTTGGTTTTAACTTGTTAATATTAGGGTGTAAAGCGTGCTGCCCCTGACGAGATCATGTCTGTTACTTGCACATGTGCAACGCTGCTCAAGCATTTGTCATTGAAGACCTTCTGTCTCTAGCAAAGGTGCTCTGCTGCCTTAATAACAGAAAGCAGCTGCTGGCAAGACAGTACTGTGAAGGGTCCAGACTAATTAGAAATCAAACTAATTAACTTACGGGGAGAACAAATCTCTTTCTTGGTCTGTGGGGAGTAGCTACATTGAAGGTTGCTGGGCTTAGGTATTTGGTGAGAAGGTTACGGGAGGCATAATTGAATCACATCCAGAGAGCTCCTGTCTCAGAGGGGTCAGTTGTTGTGGAAACTTCTTAGTTTGGAATCTGTCCTCTCTCTGCTGGAATGGGAAGGAAGGGTTGGGCTCTGCCTGGCATTTCTTACAGGCAATTTACATGTTTTAAATGTCATCTATGGTGAAGAAAAATTTTTGGCACTTCATTTGTATATGTATATGTGGTGGTGGTGGGACAACAGATTAGGTAGTATTTGTGAGGCTGAAAATATAATCTTGAGGTGATATAAAACAATTAACTGTTACCTCTCTCCCACTGATACTTTACTGCCTCTGCATGGTGACAGGGTCCTTCGGGGTACTTCAGGGGTAAATGGATACTTCCAGAATACAGCATCTGGGCCAGGTGTATTTCAACTGACACTATAAATCCTCAAAACATCTTCCATGTTTGTCATGTTGACTTTTCTGCAGCAAGCATCTCCGAGCTGAACCTACAGTTATTGTCAACATATTGACTGTCTAATGAATAGTGTTCTCTGGAGAGGTTGTTATTACTTTTTGTGTCTACATTTACAAAACAAAAAATCATCCAACTTTTCAGAGAGTTTTAAGCATTTTTACCTCTTAGGTAGGTGTTTAAAAAAATCAGCTGTTTTCCATCCATATAGATTTCCTTTGATGTATGTTATCCATGTTGTGTTTTTATTTAATTCCATTAGTTTTTTTATCTCTTTGATGATTTCAGATTAGCAAGCCATAATATTTGCCTGAAATAATGGTTTATTTAATGTGTATGAAGAAGATATAATAGCAACGCGGTAGAGGGACACATATGCATATTTATATTTACTTTTCGAATTTTCCAATATTGATTTTATTATGGGTGCTTAATTTGCATTTGTTTATATGTTCCAGAGACGCTTATGCTGTCCTGAAATACCTAAATGACCAGTGTGGTGTTAAGAAATTAGGGGTCATCGTTTTTTGCTGGGGTGGTGTTGCTGCACATCACATGATGCTGACATATCCCAAATTAAGGGCTGGTGTATCTCTCTATTGAAGGATGTAATACAAGCAGGTACACATGAGTATGTGTACTGTATAGCTGAGGTACTTGATCTAGCATTGTTTCTTCAAATTAGGTTTTCAGTTGATGACATATTTTGAGCAAAGTAGGAAGGATATTATGCAAGGAAGATGGTGGTGAGGACATTTGTTCCTAGTTTCATAATGAATCGTAGGATCTGCGTCTTTGCTTCAGGTTTAGACAGACATACATGTCCTTGGGTCACCTTCCCAATTCAGTTCCCTTTTCCTGTTTACTACTGCTTTGCAACGGCGTGCTGCAGGGCTAGGACTATACTCACATACAGGAAGTGTTGTTTTTGATTTAGCTACTCCGTATAGTTAGACAGTGGTTATTTTAGCGTCAGTTGTCCTTTTATGCTCTGCTCAAGAAGCTGGGGTAGCTAAACTGCTCTTGGCTAATGTTCTTAGAATGTAGATTTTGGGCTACTCATTAAAGTATTGACTTCCCCCATCAGTTCAGAGTAACTCAACGTTGTATGCACAGAAAACATCTTTCAAGTCCTGTGAATTCAGATACTCTATCTTTAGCTCAAGAAACTAACTAAAATAAAGTTTTAATCTAGAAGGGTGTTCTTCTAGAAGCCATGCTTACAGTAGCTTGTTAAAAAGCTCCTGACATAATGACATTTACGGGTACAAGTTGCATAAGACAGGAAAACTTTTCACTGCATAAACAGAGTGCTGAATCTGAATTTCAACTTAAAAGTCAATTGACTTTTTTTTTTTTTTAATGTTTTCTAGGTCTAATCAAGAATTCTGATGATGTGTCCTATCTGCTGAACCCTACATTTTTAATTTTTGCTGAAAAGATGATTTCATTCCCCTTCATCAAGTACGCGAATAACCTCTGTCTTCTTTCATTTCTGTGTTTAATTTTTCCTCCTGAATTACAAGCCAGAACTCGGCCTTATTAAAAAAAATAAGCAGAAAAATGGAGGCAGACTTAGAAGGAATTACATAACTTAGAAAAAGAATTAAAACTATATATATATATATATAGTTTTTTTTTTTTTTTTTTTTTCCTGAAATCTCTTTCTTTAGTGAAAGTATTTCCAGTAACCCAGGTGAAAAAGTTTTATAAAAATCCTCTTGCAGTTTTGGACTATTCAGGGAGCAATCCTTTGCTGTATGCCTTTTTTTTTTTTTTTTTTCCTATTGATTCTGGGTAATCTAGACATGATAATTTTATCAGACTTCAAAGTGAAGAAAAATGTAAAAGAAAAACTTTTACATAAAAGTGTAAAATTAGTGGAATAAATAAAGTCAAGGATATGATGAGGAACAGTGATTTAGAAGACTGTTTCTTCTTTTTATCTGCATTTGATAATTTTTTTAAGTTAGTATAAAGCAAATGGAACAAGGTAAGCCCATGAGCAATTACCTTCTGTATAAAAGGTGCACTTAAACTGCACAGAAAAACACCTGTATTGAGAATTACTATTTTTTATTGCACTTACAACATAAGCTCTTCTCAGTTGTGTGCAAATATATGTGCCTAAATGCAATTTTTGGTAAAATGATCAATTTTTATTGCTGCACACTCTACTCTAGCCAATGTGCTAGGGAGATCATACTTATGAAATTGAAAAAATGTTCAATATTAATTAATTTTCTAGTACTGCAATGAAGGAGATTTTTTTATGTGATTCTTTGTCTCATCCAGCTTTCACAAATTCTGTTCACTTTACAAATTTTCTTAGTTAAGTTTGTGTGCTAAATAGAAAGATGAACTTTAAAATGAAAAAACACCCACACCCTAGAAGTAACATTAAGAAATATAACACAAAGGATAGAATTAGGTCAGCTGAGGAAACATTCAGTCTGGGATTTACGAGCACTTGGTCATTCCACTCCCCAACATTACTGGCAACTACTTGCTGTGAAGCCTTAATGAGTGTCTGCACTGTGATAGTTAATAAGCCTTACGTGTAGATGTCTCCACGTATCCTGTGAAGTGAGGCCATCATGCAGGATGATGTGCTTGTTCCCATGCGTACATGTTCATAAAAGGATATCTCACATTACCTACACAAGTCCAAGTTCATAACTGGAGATCAGGTCTACAGGAATTTCCACTTGGATTTTTCACACTTGCACACATAGTCTGATATAGAGAAAGAAAGATTTGTTAGGTAAACTGTCATGCTCATGATTGATTAGCCATAAAATAAAACACATTTAAAAAGTCTTAGTGAGATGAAAGAACACATGGTTTTCAAAGTGCTAACTGAAGTCATCAGTGACACAGAAATGGGTGGGAATAAAGAAGATGGAGGCAGACTTTTTTCATTGGTATTCAGTGAAAGGAGAAGAGGCAATGGGGACAAAGTGAAACAGGAAATTCCACTTAAACATAAGAAAAAAAATAATCCTCTGAGGGTGCTTTAATATTTGAATCTGAGAGAGGTTGTGAAGTTTTCATTCTTGGAGGTATTAAAAACCCAGCTGGACAAGGCCCCGAGCTGTAGTTGACAGTAGGGGTTAGATTACATATTCCCCAGAGGTCCCTGAAATTTTGGTGTTTATATAACATTTGGAAGTGACACTAAAGTGACACGAGTTCCTAAAACTTGAAAAAAGAGATATCTTGCCCTCATTTATGTCATTCTAAACAATACATACAAATGTTTTTCAAGCTTTCCAGGCACATACACTCATAAACCACATATGATAAGCCAAATTGCATCCATTGGTGTCTGATTGAGGTTTGTTACTGAGTTTTAGTTTATTTAGTATTTTCATATGTTGTGTATGTAGGAAGTACTTTTATTGTATCCACATCTTTGTAGGTTGTTGTACCTACCTTTATATTCTAACAGATTTTCTAGACCCTTATTGCAATGGTGTTTTTTCTTTATATAATTTTACTTTTTCTTTTGTCCATAGGGAGCTTGATTATTAGTGTCTAGCCTACATGATAAATCAGGGAGTTGAATGATGAATAAACTAAGGACTGGCAGCATGGAATATATCTATATTAATGTAACTGTGACTATGCTCTATATTACAGGTCACCCTACTGGAGTAGAAGCTAAAGCAAAATTGTAAAGTTGATTATCAGGTTAAAATTTATCCTGGACAAACTCATGGTTTTGTACATCACAGAAGAGGAGATGGATAAGCCTTATATTGAGGAAGGAAGAAAAGATATGATCAACTGGCTGGATAAATATATTTAATAGAAAAGCAAACAATTAATTTATAACATAATCATGTAACATATCGTGGAGATTTTTGATAGCACATTTTAGAAAATTAGGAGGGAGAGTTTGTTGAAATTAAAGAAAAAAGGAAACAATATTTTATTTTATTTTTTTTTGGTCAGTAGATTCTAACTCGTAATTTCATGTTATATTCTTTTGAGGTGGTTTCAGATGTCACTTTACAGTGTCGTGTCTTAATATGCTGTGAAATGGTTTACAGTTCCTTGGGTTTTAGTGTAATACTTGAAATAATTTGTACTAATGGTAGAATAATATTTGTATGTTGTGGCCACTGTTCATGTAAGTACCATGTAAATCACAGGCCCAAAATTTAGGGACACAAATGGATTGTCTGGTGGAACTCCTTCTGAGACACTAGGTTTCTTTGACTGGTACCCTGGTGGCAGGTATTTATTTAACAAGCGACTTTATTGTGCATGTCTTTTTTCAAAATTTGGAGTCTGAGGTTATTCAAATGGGGTACTGCTTTCTCACATTACCTTTGATCCTGTGATACTGTATAGATAATTTCCCAACAGTTTCAGAAATCAAAAGTATAATACAAATGGCAAACAGGGCATTATTTTGTGGATTACAAACCATGGTTACTGCTTAAAGGAGAAATATTAAATGTTTTTGTGCAATGTATCTTGTTATGTAATTTTTCCATTGATGATACAGCAAAAATCTCTATGTTGCATCAGCTCAAGATTGCATCTACCTCAACACCCAGCCTTCATTGGTGGCCAGCAGTGGCTGCTTAGGGAATTTTCCTCTTGCTCCACATCCTGGCAGGCAGCGGTTTTGGGTCTTTCTGTGCTGGATGTGCCTGTTGGGGCACTGTGTTGAATAGCCACTGATGGACCTACCTTCTGTGAATTTGCCAGGAGAACTCTAATTCTGGCCTGTGGCTGCTGCTGAAGTGTTGCTTTTGATAAGATGCCATCTATACCTAATGTATTAATCTACCTGTTGCCTAGGTGATACAGCTCTTATAACAATTTTTTTTTTTTTTCCAGGAGAAGATTGTTAGAGGTCTGGAAGTCTAGTGTGTCTTAATTACCTCAGTGTAAAACCTAGGTAACCCTAAACTCAGTGGAGCTCCCTTAGCATTACAAGGTAAGCTGTTGTGTAAGAGAATGATCAGGTCATATATTTAGAGAATGGCTGTCATTCATAAATGTTTAAATGGCATGTGTACTGTAAAACTAATACTGTGACTAAGCAAAAGGAAAAAAAAAAACAACTGAGATGCAGCATTTGTTAGAAGTTGAAAGGGTAAATACAAGTTACTACAAGTGTGGTCAAGTCTTCACGATAAAACTGCAACTCACTGTGTAAGATCTGGCATTGTGAGTTTATAGTACAAAGTACAATCAACTGCACATACGGAGAGTGTGAATGTTTTGAATTAAATTTTGACTTCTAATTAAAAGTTATAAGGGGAAAATCTGAATGGATTGTCAGGGAACACAGAATCAACAAGAAATTAAATTAAAACCCATTTAATTTATAAAGTTTAATGTTAATATTAAGGTCATGGTAAATAGTCTTATATAAAGGAAAGTTTCCACAGGCACAGTACAGTCACTCAAGGAAGTGAGCATGGGGCGAAGCAATCCCGGTGAAGAGAAGTTTCTGGAAGAATTGCTGCAAGTGTCTTTCTTCTATGAATGATTTCAACTGCCAGTTTTTGTCATTTATTTTACTACTGTTCTTTGAAGTTGTGAAGAATCTAACCCTATGTGCTATAATTTTTGTAATTTGTAATTTATGTAGTTTGCAATATACAAGTGGGAACTCCCCCCTCCCAATAAAAAAAGACTACCAAAGGAATTGTATTTTGAACCTTACAACTTCACTCTGGAATTCTTTTGTGGGCTTTTTTCATTCATTTGACTTCAGATTAGGAATTGTAAGCAAATCATAGTGATAAAATTATTTAGAATATGGGCAAACAGTTTATATGTGAGGACTAAATTGCAAAACGGGTCACTTTGTCAACATGGGACAAAAGCGCATTTAGCACTATTTTTCAGATGTGCCTCTGAAGAAACAGTGAACTTTCACTGCTATTTTTACATAAAGCTCTTTAAAGAATAAAACCGATTATGCAACAAAAAGATCAGAAAGCCAAATGGGAGGGATACAAGAATCAGGCAGTCACTTTAATTCAAAAGGGAAAAAAATATATAACATGTCCTGATAGGATAAAAATGTATCAGCATTTAAAATAATTATTATAATTATATGTAGAGCAATCTACACAACTGCTACCTTTTCAGATTTTATTTGTTCTCATGCTGAAAGAAAGTATTTTTCCTGTGCTGTGCTTTGTATTGTATAGGGCTTTGAAACGATGTCTCTGTGTCACTACCTCACCGTGCTGATGACTTCAGATTTCTCTATTACCAATGGATAAATAGTCTAAAGAAATAAAAATACTAGCATAATGTTTGAAAGTGATACTACCCCAACCTTCAAAAACAAAGGAACACCCTTAAAAAAAAAAAAAAAAGATTAAACGAATTGCTCAGCTAAGTAAACATGTTTCGTAAGAGTTAGGAAGAACTACCAATATTAATACCATTTTGTATAAGCTACAGGGAACGTTTTGTATTCACATACAGCATGACTTGTCACAGTAGCACACCCTGCTTATACTCAGAAGAAAATTAAAGGCTTAAAAAAAAAAGTGAAACTCTATCTTTGTGACTCTGTGATATGCACAGATAAAGGCAGTAAATTACGCAACTCTTATTTGAAGAAACTTGATCCTTGCACTCACCCCTTCCATTTTATGAGTTAGCACTTTCTTCGTGATCCCATTCAGTGCTTGCTGTCCTTGCTGCACTCTTGTGGCTTGGCTCTGCTGTCTCACACATTGGCTGTGCTACAGGTATGTGTGTTTATTTGTTTGTTTGTTTTTGGTTTTGGTTTTAACTTTCACAGCTTTTCCTCATGAGAAACATAAAGCAAGTGCCTGCTGAGTCTGGACTCGGTGTGTTTGGAGGACTTGCACATTATCTACATGCATTTTTGAAGAGTTCATGGTCATTTAAATGGTACCAGAGTGCTACTTTCTTCCCAAATTATTCCAGGTCGCAGTTCGGAAATCTGTTGATTTCCTTCTCAAGATGGGGAAGACATCTCAGGAGGAGATTCAGGAGAACCTCTTGAAAGTGAAAGAGCCACAGAACATATCTTTATATTTTTCTAGTTGTAGATTGAGGTTGCTGAAAGCTAAAGTTACTGTTTGGCCTTCAAATGCTCAAGCACTTGCAGGTGGAGATGATAGAACAGAGAGAGTGCAGTGACGGATGTGGGCTTACAGCTCCTCCTAGAACACTATTTATTGTATATAAGGAAGGGAGAGATAAATTTTTAAGGAATAGTTCAATAGAATCTCAGAAACTGGAAATAGTACTTGTTTCTTTAATGTTCAATTGATCTTTTTATATTTTCTGATTTTAGTTTAATTTTTTTTTATTATATTTTTTTTAAGGAAAAGCAGTTATCAACTCTTTTTGATTATGCATTTAAACTAACTTTTGGCTTAAATTCTGTCAATTAATTCATTTTTCCTAGTAGACTTATTTTAAATTATGAGTCCTTTATATGAGACTACAGCATATGAAAAACACGTAGGGGGGTGTGGCTTATTAAAAAAAAAAAAAAAAAAAAAACAACACTAAAACTTGAGGATTTGTATATATGTGTGCCTAACGTTAATACAGCTTTCAAATAAGATACAGCTTGTTTTGAAATTTTCATCTGTGAAAACCTAGCTTTGCTAACTCTTCTTGGGATATTCTGAAATGTAAATTATGTAAATACAGAACACCTTTGTTCCTGGAAGTCTGTGCAAATCTCCCGTCAGCAAGGTTGATTGTTGGTTGGTTCTCCTGCAGCTGTCCCTTTAGGGCTGCAGCTATTTAAGTCATGCCAGTTGAGGGACTGTTTGGTACCTGCTTTTCCTGTTTCTCTCTGTGAGCACATTTGGTGCAGTCAATACTGAACATCCTTGCTTCTGTACTAAGCAAAGTTTTCTTAGACAGTGCTCACAGACCTTTGCACTTTGTCTGGAGGAAGTTTAGGCAAAGCTTTACCTAAATTCTCTCCACACTCTTGAATAACTTGGAGGTTCCCTCTGCATATTCAGGTAAGTTATTTGAGTCTTTTTGCAGTAATATGAAGTCAGTCCAGTTGGTTAATCTAAGGTCAGTGGTATAAAATCATTAACTTGAGAGTGTAAGGATCTACACCAACCTGTGTTAGTCTCTGTTGGTGGCTTTTGACCTTTGTGAATAACTTGTTTATTTTCACCTAAGCAATAGTTTGTAATAATTTAACCATACCCTACTGTTACCTTGTTCGTAAAACGTTTGGCTTAACTCGTGGATTTTTCCTTAAATTCATTTTCCTCGTTTTTCTATCTTGAAGTTTGAATGTATTCCTTCTCTCTCTTTTTTTTTTTTTAATATTAAAAATTTTATACTCCAGCTTCCACTGATCAGTACATTTTTCTAACGCATTTTTTAAACATCCTCTTTCAAAATCTGCTATATCTGAGGCTAATGCTGGTTTAGAAAAGGGATTTCTTGACACTGAAAATGTTTGCTAAACGAACTTTAAACCTCCAGGAAAATACCACAATTAATCAAGGTGTAATTATGTCTTTCTACACAAGTGTTTTTTTGTTGTTGTTGTTTATTTATTATTATTATTTTTTTTTTCCAAAATGCAAGGTTCTGTATTAAGCCTTTACTGTCTATAACAAAGAACACATTCCTGGCAGGGACACATGCATGATGTAAATTAAAAGAGCTAGCTTCATCACTATGTAATCAATTTATGACGGTTGCCTGGCTGGTTGTTCTTTACTTTTCCTGTATTATTGTAGGGCACACAAGCCCTAGTTATGTGCCAGGTCCCCGCAGAAGAGTTTATAAGATTAGCAACTTTATAAGATAAGAGTTTATAAGACAACCAACAAGACTGTTACTTATAAAAAACATCCTGATGTGCTGATTGAGTGATGTTGCATTTTTGATCTATCAGTGATTGGTAAGTGTAGTGATTCAAAAATTCAACAGTCTATGACACCTCTGTGTTTTGATCTGTTTCAGCATGGTGTGCTGTGATATTCACACCTGAATGTTTTCATTTCTTCCCAGGGCGATATCACACATGGCTAACGAATTGAGGCCCTGCCCGTGTGACATTGGAGACAAGTTTGACTACGGCGGCCGTGGGCAGGAAGTACAAATTGAGCACATCAGGGCTTATGTTTCCAAACCCTCTGCCAGCACAGACAAAGCTGTGATCATGATTCATGATATATTTGGATGGCAACTCCCAAACACGAGATACATGGCTGATATGCTAACAGCCAATGGATACATGTAAGAAATCCTACTCTTTTGCAAATGCCTTCATTTTTTTTTTTTTTAATTTTATTTTTGAAACCATACAAACATGAACAATGTCATAGGCTTCATTTCCAGGCTTCTGTAAAGAATTTCCTGTTAAAGCATCATTGTCGAGCAGTCCCACCATAACGAGGTAATAGACAAAAAAATAAGGAAAGGAGGAAATGGAGAAAGTCTTATTTTGCATCTTTAGTTGGGGTACTGGAATGGCTCTGTGAGCATGAAACAGCTGCATCCTCCTCCCTTACATAGCACGTTCGCAAGTTCACTGCTATGGCAAAAATTCCAGGCAAGCTGAAAGTAATTCTGTGGAAGTGAACTGTACCAGCTTGTGCCAGAGAAAGAAATAAGGTCTCAGATATGTGAAAAGAGTATTGTATATCCACTTCCCTATATTACTGGGTTAGCATTCCTTCTTGCCCAAATGTATTGACTGTGTAAATGGTAGGTTTTCTTTTATTTCTAATTTAGTAGGAAACCACTAAGGTTTTTCAATTGCAATTAAAGAGAAAAACAAACAAACAAACAAAAAACAGATTAATTAATGAATTTTAAAAAGAAAAAAAATATCTGGAAGTTATGCTAACTATTTATCAGACACGGAAAAATAATGAGGGTTGCATGTAAAATGCTTCAATGGAGATTACATTCTATGTGTACTCAACAAAATGAATTTTTTGTAATACACACAGACTTCCCTTCAGTCCTTTCTCAGTGTTATTTCATGGGCATAAAATGTTTTTATTTTTCTTGCAGAGCCATCTGCCCGGATTTTTTTGTGGGACAAGAAGCGTGGAAACCTTCGAATGACTGGGCTTCTTTCGATGATTGGCTGAAAACTCGACAGGCCAGCAAAATAGACAAGTACAACTGTTGTTCATGGTCCAGCTTATGGACGTGCTTTTTTAGTAGGAATTTTTGTATCAGTAAAGATTCAGGATTAGGTCCTAAATTATTAATGGATCAAATACAGATGGATGTCCAGAAACAAAAATTTTGTGCAGTTCAAGTGTTAAGCTTGAAGGCTATGTGAAGAATGCTTTTTGGAGAAAAGCAGATCTTTGAACAAGAGTAGAAGTGACCACTATTTACTCGTGCAGAGAGTAAAAGGGGGATCAATGACTCAAAAGAAAAGAACCAACAAAGGCTAGGGGATACAGCAAGCTTCTTCCATTTTGCTTTGATTCAATTCCTATGGGCAGGCACATCTTCTATGAGTTTCTGTTAAGGTGCAAACACAGTCACCGAATGGGATTTAACTGGGGAACATTTGTCCTGCTCCCCATCAGATCCCAGCAACTTTAAATAATACTGTTTTGCTATTTTTCTAGCTGCTATTTTTCTAGCTGTATTTTTAACCATTTTTATCTGACCTGGCTTAATTACATAATACTGCTGTTGATTTTTAATCAACAATTTTAAACTTGCTGTCACAATTCCATGAAGTATTTGTGTCCCCTGGGAACACTTTACCTTTAGTCACATTTGTGATAATGGGATGTTCTTGACTGGATGTGCCTCTTTTAAACATTTTTTTTTCCCTAATGTAAGCCTATAGGACATATTGCCACTGGTGTATTTTGTTGCTGTTTATAAAATCACTTTAGATTCTAACCACAGTGATGTTGGAAGAGTGACTTTACATGTATTTTCCTGTCTTCTCACCTGCGGTTTGTCCTATAATTTAGAAATGAGTAATTGTAAGCAAGTGTTGTGGGTTGACCCCAGCCAGCAGCCAAACACACACACAGCCACTCTCTCACTCCCTGCAAGCAGGACGGAGGAGAGAACAGGAGGAACAAAAGGGAGAAAACTTGTGGGTTGAGATAGAGACAGTTTAATAAGTGAAGGAAAGAAAAAAAACACAAATGATGCAAAAGCTCACTACCTTCCGTAAGCAGACCAATGCTCAGTCAGCCTCTGAGCTGTGGCCACTGTGGAACCAGGCTCCAGTTTTAATTCACTTTTATCTCCCTTTTTTAGAGAAGTTGATGTTGTCCTGAAGTATCTAAAGGAGCAATGTGGCGTGAAGGATATTGGTGCCATTGGGTTCTGCTGGGGTGGAGCAGCAGTACAACATCTGATGCTGAAAAATCCTCATTTAAAGACGGGGGTGTCCCTCTACGGTAAGTGTCAAAGGTTTGTTATGTTGTGAGAGAACATGACCAGAGCAGGAGCTATCCTAGAGCAGCATTACTGTAACGAAACTTAACGTGACATCTTATGGGGGAAGGTGATATGATTTCAGAAAATCTTTACACAATTTGTCTTTATGCACCCACATTCTTGCACAGAAACAATCCTAAACATCAGGGTTTGAGTGGCACAGCCAGGATGGCTTCTGTGCACCATAGAGTACAAGGGACACCAAGGGCCTCACCATGTCTCAGATTCCTCTTGACTGGTGACAACAAAATAGTTTCTGTACAAATCTTTCATACCTGTTAGGATCCAGCAGCTATTGTGAGGTGGGTCTTTGCCTAAGGATCTCACCTACCTCCATTTCCGTAAGTCTTCAGGCAGGATGCTGCCCACTGTCTGGTTTTCAATATTTGGAAAATCTGTTTGAAATATGTGTCTGTACTCTATTCTGCTGTTAGGCTCACAGGAAAAGACATGGCAATAGTGATATTCTGCAATGTTTTGCTATCCTTCTGCCAGAGTGCAGGGACCTTCACTGATAAGTCAGCTGTGTTGGGGTCTGCACAGGCAGCAGGCCACCAGGTCATGGCATTCATTGTGATTGTTTATCTTTAATAGTGGTTTAACCGCTTTAACTAACATGAATCATTTCATATGCCTTTGATTTTTCCATAGGGGTGATCAGGTTCTTTGACGAGAGATCCTCTTTGCTTCACCCCACCTTCTTCATTTTTGCTGAAAATGATCATATTGTCCCACTAGAGCAAGTGAGTTTCCCATCAAAGATATTTATCTTTGTATGCTTTCTATCTTTGTTTTGTAATCTGGTATTTACTTAGGAGAAAACAGAAAATGAATTTTCTTCCTCTTTACTGTAGTTCTACGTAAATTTGTGTTGTTTATCCCCAAAGATTTACAGTGACACTAAAAAATGTTTTCTGTTTTTGTTGCAAAATACAATTGTTTTATATGTGGGAGTTGCTAGGAGGAAAGAAGCAAGAGGGGGGAAAAAAAAAAAGGGTTGATTTGAAGTCTGTAAATACATAACGTGCTAATTCAGTATGCAGCCAAGATGATATGTTCTGTTACAGGTCACCGAGCTGGAGCAGAAGCTTAAACAAAACTGTAAAGTTGATTATAAAGTTAAAATTTACCCTGGACAGACTCATGGTTTTGTACACCGTAAAAGAGAAGATATCAATCCTCAGGATAAACCTTATATTGAGGAAGGAAGAAAGGATATGATCAACTGGCTGAATAAATACATGTAGAAGACATAAAATGTCCGTAAAGTAAATATATTTTTTTAAAGGAAATCATAAAAATAATAAAGATTATATTGATTAAAATGTTCTTAAAACCAAAATATTTTGTAAAACCCTTTTGCAATAACACTACTTACATACACTTATTTTCTAAGGAGATGCATAAAAATTTTCAATCACAGAAAGCCTTAACTGTAAAAAAAGGTTTTTAAATTTGCACTCCCAGGCCCCGTAACTGGGCTGGGTTCCTGTTGCTCCCCTGGGATGTAAGGGCAGAGGGAGGGGCTGGACAGACATTTCTGTGCTTCCTGACAGTCCTGACATGGTCCTGGACTCAGCACATATAGAACCACTGAGTGGTTTGGGTTGGAAGGGACCTTAAAGATCACCCAGTTCCACCCTGCTGCCATGGGCAGGGACACCTCCCACCAGATCAGGTTGCCCAGAGCCCCATCCAGCCTGGCCTTGAGCACCTCCAGGGATGGGGCATCCACAGCTTCTCTGGGTAACCTGTGCCAGAGCCTCACCACCCTCTGAGTGAAGAATTTCCTCCTTATATCTAATATAAACCTACCCCCTTTTAGTTTAAAGCCATTCCCCCTGGTCCTGTCACTACACTCCCTGACACAGCTTTCCTGTAGGGCTCCTTTAGGTACTGGGAGGCCACTGTAAGGTCTCCCTGGGACCTTCTCTTCTCCAGGCTGAAGGACTCCAACTCCCTCAGCCTGCCTTCATAGTAGAGGTGCTCTAGCCCCTTGGTCATCTTTGTGGCCCTCCTCTGGACTCACTCTAATATATCCATGTCCTTTCTCCTGTCCACGTACAGGAGAAATTTGTGCACGGGAGAGATTTGCAGACACCTTTGCTCACTGGCGCATCCATGTCCCATGCGTGTGCCTGTGTAGCTCTGCTGCAACGCAAGGGTTGCAATGTGTAAACCTTCCCAGAAGGCAGCAACTTGGGTATGTGGTTCAGAAAGCCACATGTGAAGTGTGAATTTAGTTCCCAGATATGGATTCCTGCCCAATTTGCCAGGGTTACTACAAGAACAGACAGAGATGATGAAATGAAACACCCTACAACTATTGCCTCACATGGATTTTACATAAAAGGATCTTGATGTCTTTCCTTAATGCTCACCACTTTGCTTCATGGGAGACAATCAGTAATATCTTGGCTGGCAAACCATTCCAGATTGGACAGATTGGAGTTATGTTTCTTTTTATTTATTTATTTATTTATTTAAATGTGAACAGACAGATGTCTCCGGGAACTGAGCTAAGCTTTTCTAAATTTCTTCTGAGACAAGGGAATAGTGAAGCTGTGAATAGTATTGTGAGTAGCATTTTGTCAAAATTAATCATCCTTGGAGAATTCATAGTGGCTTGCTATAGGGCAGGTGTTGCATTTCATCATTTATTCGTATTTGCCATCACTGGGACCGTAGAAATATGGGACCTGACATAGAAAATTCAGAATTTTGCCAGTGTTAATATTTTCTTTACTAAAAATCACACACACATTAACAAAACTGGCACCTGAGAATGTTATTTGTATCTAGAAAGCACTGACATACAGGTTACAGAAATCCTTCTGCCAGCAAGGTATGTTTACAGGTCTATCCAATTCAAACAGTCTGTGCCTTTCCAATTTAATCATCTTTGGGAGGGATTCCCTGTTGGCACTGTGTATTATCTGGAAGATGAAATGTTAATCTGCTGTAATTTTTTTTCAGTAAAACGCCTCATCTGCATTTCTACCTTCTGAGACTGCAGCATGTGACAAGAAATTTGAATAGCCATGCTGCCAGCTCATGCTTCCCTTGGGAGAGGGCAACCCAGGAACCTCAGAAGGTTTTTGCTTTCTGTAAATAATATGGTAGGCAAAGCTGTTTGTTAACAGCCTTGAATAACCAATATAACAGGAAAACTTGCCAAACTCTTCCTTGAGGGGAACCTGTGGTTATTGTTTTTTAACTTTGCATTACAGGAAGAGAGAACCTAGAAGAATCCTAGTCACACCTTTTCCAGGGCGAGTAGGATTTTGGCCACTGAGAAAGTGTTAAACTAAGGAAGGAAACTGTATGGACTAAAGTGAAAGAAATCTTCTGGTGGAAAACCACAGGGATCGGGAAAAGATAGGAAAACAGAGCATAGTGGATGGAGACCAGCATTGTGAAGAGCAAGAACACTTATCATGCACACTGCTGATCATCTCCTGATCTCCAGAAGGTTGAGGTCCTTTACATTAAAGAAAATATTAAAACACAACTTGAATCTGATTCACTGGATCTTCTGCCTTCTTGGAAGTTGAATTCTGTGTCCTCGTTTCTGCTCTCTGACACAAATATTTTGATAGCATCTGATATTTATAATCAATTTTATGTTACCCAGACTTTACTACTAGTTCTTCATTTGCTTCTGCTTCTACATACTGAGCGCTAAGTCTTTTATGGGTTTTCGGTATAATCTTTATAGCAACAATTTCTAATCAGCTTGATGACTCTTCCTTCAACCCTTTTATATTTTCTGTATTCCTCTCTATTAAGCTAGCCTTTACTGTTTCTTTTTACTGTGGTGCCCACAATGGATAGTCAGTATTTTATCTTAACAACCATTCTCAGCTTTTTTTGGCTTCCAGGTTCTAAACAGCTGTGGGCTTTCAGTGTGCAGGTTGAATTCAGATAGGACAAAGAAATGCACTCCCCCAACACATGCACACACACAGCAGTGCCAAAACTCCCATAAAATAATGTGTGCTTACTTAGTATAAAAAAAGTACATCTTCTGGCCTTCTGGCTCTCCTTCCCCAGGCTGTATTTGCATTACTCAGCAGCAACATCTAGCTCTAGGGAACTCTGCTGCTGGGTCTCTAAGGGTTTTTTTTTTGACTTTGCTTTCTTCAGAGTAGGCCCTAAGGAAGAAGTTCAGTGATTGCTGTGCTGGATTAGAGGGGTTTCAGTGCTATGAGGAGCAACCAGAAGTTGAATGTGATGGAACATGGGGAATTGATGGAAGAAGTGGCAGAGGTGACCACACCAGTAGATTTAGCTCCAGCCCATCTGAGGACCTCATTGTAATTCATTTTGGCCACATCCACAGGCATACTAAGCTTCTTATTTAGGACCGTAGTTACCTATCTAGCATAGCTTTTAATCAAACCATACTTTGCTCCTTTAACTTTTCATTGACTTTTCAATGTGTTTCATGGCAGGCAGTGAGTGGTAGCTTAGCCTCTAGTAATTTGTAGAGAGGAGACCATTTTTCAGGGAAGTATGCTTGTCACAGGGACACAAAACAATCTGGTTTAATTTCATTTAAGGTAAGGAAAAATAAAGGTAGACCCACAGAGGGTACTTTGTTGAAGAGCTACCTGAGAAGAGTGATGGGAGTCTGGTGCCTGTCTCCTGCTTATGCCCCTAGAAATCTCCCTCGGCACACTTCGCTTATTTGCCTGTTTCTGGTCTTTGGCACCGAAGTATATCAAAGCCCAGCAAATATTAGAGCATGTAACTTCAGAAAGCAGGGAGTGGAATGGGCTAATAAAGCTCCAAAACAAAGTTCTTCTTTCAGACCATGGAGCAGATGGTGACACCTGTGGCAATACATTTCCTTTCCTTCCTGCCACAGATAGATCGAGAGCTGATGAGGAAATTTTGCATCTGGGCTGGTAGTTTGCCATGAATTTCAGCAGAGCTATGATAATGTTATTTGTTAAGGGGATTGGAAATTATTCCAACTGTGCTATTAAACTGTTCTTTATTTTTTATTATTATTATTTTATTTTTATTTATTACCAGGTGTTGTGCTTACAAATTGTTGAAGATTTCTTTAATGTTCATTCTTTTTTTCCAGAATCTTGAGAAAAATTAGAGAATTACCAAAATACCTCAGCTGGGTGCCTGCCAACCACAACTAAGAAAATTGCTTTCATTAAAATAAAATTACACAACATAACGTAACATAACATAACATAACATAACATAACATAACATAACATAACATAACATAACATAACATAACATAACATAAAATAAAATAAAATAAAATAAAATAAAATAAAATAAAATAAAAAGAGCTGAGACAAAACATTATAGCTTCTTCTGATTCTTTTGAGGAGGGAAAGGGGAAAGAGATGCAAGGGGAAAGATGCAGGGGGGATGGGTAGTTCATATGTTGTTTATACTTCCAACACTGTACTTTGCAGCACTCTATGATGCTGCTTTAGAGAGTAGTGAGTGGTTACAGATCTCCCTGTGACTGTCACTGTCCATGATGGTAGTGTGTAGCACCCAGCAGCCCAGGGTGGGTTAGCAGCTTCTGCTGGTTTCAGCAGAACGAGTGTTTGCTGTTGTCCCAGATTGTCTCTGTTTTGCTCACACAGCTGGCTCAGCTCTGCCTTCACTCAGATTTTTATTTCCTGAGAGACACAGACAACCTGGATTGAAATTAAAGGAATGGACTTGTTTCTGTTGTACGCCACAGCTGAAATCTCCACAAAGCAAGGTTAGGCAGAGATCACTTTTTGTCCAGGCGTATTCCTGTACAAAGGTCTTCTCTGTAAGTCAGGGTACTTTAAAAGCCCTAGTCTGGTTTTGCACCCTTGTGGTGAACAAATACAGAAATTGCTGCCAAGAGGACACAGGGGCTTCATGAGTCTTGAGACGGACATGCTGTGGGCTCAGCAGCTCTACCTGGCTACAGACTTCTTCAGCTACCTACAGGGGCGTACCTACAGCTTCCTACATGGAGAGGAAAAGCCGAGGGGCAGCAAACAAGAGCTGCAGCATGGGAAACTCTGAGTGGTTATAAGGGAATTAATTTTCACTTTGAGAGCAGCCAGCAATGGAACAGGTGCCCAGGGAGGTGGTGGGGGTGTCCAAAGCTCACCCAGATGAGGCGCTGAGGAAGCAGTTATGTTAGCGGTGCTTTGAGTGGGGGCTTGGGTCCAGCTTTTTATTCTGTGATTCTACAAATTTCCAGGGGGGATTCAGCATCTAGGAGGCGAGATGAAAGCTTTTCTATGGTGGTTTCTGTACTTTATAGGTTGTATCTGCTTGTGTCTGTAGCACAAAAATCTAGGCTGTTGAAACTAAAGGGGCCAAGGCCATATTAGAGTACTTAAAAGGACTCAATAAATATTTCTCTGCAATAATTGAAAGGCTGCCAAGAAGAAAATAACTGTTAGTGGGGTTCCTAGCATGTCCTGGTGTAAGGACCAATGCAAGGTGGACCTTCTAGTCCCATTTTTGGCTGTGCCAGTGCTCTACTGTGTGACTTAAGCAAAGGTCTGTTCTCTTTACCTGTTACTGGCTTTTCCCTCCATCACAAAGTACTTGGAGGTCACATCAGGACCTGCTAAAGAACTAAAGATTATATTGAACTTGACTATGGGAAAATGGGATGATTTCATTGCTACCCTGTATATTTTCAGATATGTCAAATAGATTTATAGCGGAATATAATAAATGGTAGAATAAACATAAAACATGATAGGGGCACCCTCTGAGCTAATGCAGCTATAAATTCACGTCATTAAAATCAATTGAGGCCAGAAGATTGAAAGTAACAATGCCCTGCAGCAATGTTATTTCTTGCTCCTGGTTCCAGCCCACGCGTGCTGGTGTCGCTTTGCTACGTAACATCGAGGCAGAGAGCAACATGTTGTGTTTGGCTTTGTCAAGGCTGTTGCAAGCAGCCATGAACTTGTTCCCATTGTAGCCTGAGCCAGGCTAAAGCTGTGCAGCAGCCTTGTTAGCAGGGAGCTTTGCTTAGAAGGTTATGTCAGCTCAAAATCATTATTCATAGCCAAAGGGCTTCCAGGTAGGACTGGGCTTGTACTACAGGGGCTGGCAACATGGCTAGAGCTGACTTAATCCTGTTTCTTGACTCTACAAAATACTGCTGAGGCCCATCCCTAGTTATCTCTCTGTACCTCACTCTCTCATTTTTCTACTTTTGCAGACTAAATGTCTGCAAGCAACTACCTGTGGCAGGTGGCTGCAGGTGGGGCAGCAGAGGCCAGAGAGCAAAAGCAGAGATGGCACAGCTTCAGGCTCTTTCTGGTAGGACAGGGAAGAAAAAGGCAGGAGGATTCTTATGAAATTGAAACAGGCAGGGAGTGAGGAACTACCAGGTGGGACAAAGGGAGCACATGGCTGCCTAGGAAAGGGAATGGTGTGGGTGTCAGAGTGTTGTTGGCTGCTGAAAATCAGGGTTATGCAGAATTGAGAGGGTTTGTGCATCTCTGATAGAAGGAAGGAGCAAGGTAGGAGCACAGGAGGTAGAAGAAGAACATGTTATGATGTTTTGAAAAAAAAAAGACAAGGAGCTGGAAATTAATTCAAAGGAAAAATAATAATTCAAAGAAAAAAAACGAAAAGAAAAAAACATGAAAGAATGAAGTGGAACACATTTTGAATGTTAGTATCTCTCTCCCAAGCAAGCTGGTAGGTTTGAAGAAAGGAACAGACATGAGAGAGAAAGGAGAAGAAAGATGTGTGCACTGTATCATGCTATACTGCTAGGAGGAAGGAGGGGAAGGTCTGGCAGAGACCCCTGCAGGCTGGTGGAGTGGGGAGGAAACCTTCCATGTCTTGTTTTCCAGCTGGCTCACTGTAAACTGGTGACTGCTATTCCCATGATATCTTTGATATAATGTCTGAAGTACTAATGATGAGAAGCTCAATTCACCACTCAAGAGAGGGATTAGGACTTGCATCACCATTCCAGCTTGTCACTCACCAAGTAATTAAAATCTTCTTTGAATGTAGAATTTACGGACCCCATGGGAGAGCCTCCGGCTAAGGAAATGATGCTTTGAACATGAGATCACTGAAAGAAAATAATGCATTAGCTAGAGAGCTTTCAGCTTTCCAAGCTGTGGCAGAAAGCCACTGAGCAACATTACACAGAGGCACCTAATTTGTGCTCCAGCCAGATCATAATAAATACCCTAGCTGTTTCTCCTTCTGAAGAAACAGTGAAGTGTAATTCAGAGACTCCAAGAGATGGATAGTTTTTAAAGAGATTGTATGTTTAGTATGGAAGAGGTTTTGCCATACATCTTTCCTAATGGAGGAAAATATCTACTTAATGTCCTGTTTTTATCACTGACAGCTGGTCGTGTTGACCAGTCTGGAACAGTGGCTATGGAGAAAAACACCTGGAGCCTCATCTGAGCAAATGGCTAATGCTGCTAGCAATGACGTAAGTGAACTTTTGGGAAATAAGTGAAGACTTGTTTGGAAATGGCCACGTGCCCACATGGGAAGACCAGCTTTCTGCAGTGCTAGTCCATGATCAGCCACACTGCAAGGTTTTCAGCAGGAGTTGGCTGGTGCTGGACTAAACATGCACTACAGCAAGAAGAAGCAATGTCACTCATCCCAGGAGACTAGATGCTTGGGCGATAACAAGCAGTTGCTTTGGGTACTCTGTTTTCATCGAGTAATTTGGGCATTTTTGTTTTTAGAATGAATAAAAATAATTAAATTAATTAAATATTAAAATATATATATATATAATTAAATGTCTCCAGAAGATTCCAGGAAATAAAATGCTTTTAAAAATGAACTGTGAATTCCAGCCCTTACTACTTTTTTTAAAAAATGTAATTTTATTTAATATTTTTTATTTTATTAAATAAATTACATTTATTTAAAATGTAATTTTATTTCTAAGCTTATCTTCTATCTATCTATCTAGCTAGCTTTGGAATATTAGAGTAATTTGAGCCAAAGTGTGCTGCAGAATGAAGAGAGTCTATTGTAGCTGGTGGAGTTACACTGGATCTATGGAGGTGCAAAAGAATACGATGTGAAACAGGGCCAAAAAGTCTTTTTAGCTTCCCTTTTTATATGGTTTGGATTATACATTTTGGCTTAGCATCTTAGTATGTCCACTCCTACTAGCCAAGCCTACCCAGGAGTTTTCCAAACCTGTTACGTACATCCATTCACAGCTGTGTGTTTGCATTGCCATATGTCAGAAATAAGAATATGTTACACATACTTGTTTCACATGACAGCTTTGGTGTTCAGACCTGTACATACAAAACCAGTTTGGGGGTGCAACTAGAAACAACCAGAGCCTGAATCTCTGAGAAGTTTTGAGCACTGTTTGCTGTCTTCACTTCTAGTGCTGGCAGCTTTGATGCTTGGTTCTGGGCTGTCCAACTCAAGGAGACAAAACTACACATGTCCTTGAAAAGTTGATTTTAATACCTGAACTTCCTCATAAGTAAGGGAAAAATCTTGCAGAAGAACCTTCCATTGCATGGTAACACCAACAAGATGACGACCTGCACATTTCAGGCCACAATAGGACAGATATGTTTATCCTGGACATGTCCTTTCTGCCTGATTCTGTGATTAGAAACTGAGGCTTAGAAGATAAAAGCCTCTCCACAAAGTGTGGGAATATTTTACCAGGTATGTGAAATTGCTGAGAGCTGTTGGAGCCACCAGTTGTGACAGGGTATAAGCGGGAGGTAAGTCAGGGTTATCCTGGAGGACTGGTTCTTTTCACCTCTGGAACGATTCCTGCTGACATCGCAGCAGCAGCAGTTTTCTCCAGCTCGCTCAAGAGGGAGGACACTGAGCCTCCCAGGAGTGAAGCATCCGTTTTCACATGGTCACAGAGGCTGATGAAATCTCCTCACTGGAAGGCTCAAATTAAATCTGAGGTTCCCTAAGGATGGAGCACCACTGGGCATCCTATAGCTTGTGTCATGCCTTCAGATTTTCCCTCAAAGGGCAATTACCTGGATGCACCATGCAAACTGGTACATCTCCAGGTACTGCAGTAGTAGGCAGTGACTACATGAAGGCAAACCTCCAGGTTAGCAGGAATGAGGTGCTGATGAAAATGGCCAAGAGTCTTTTGCCTCATTTTTCTGTGGAGACAGACGAATTGTGGTATCAAGGTTGCTGAAGTTGAGTTCCCTACCCTTACATGCTATCCATCCAATAACATCTCACCAGGACAAGGAATTTTTTCTGCCTCTTTTGATTCTGCTTGCATATTTGCATGTCTATCCCCTATTCACTTTTGTTGCAGGTCTTCAGCCATCCATGTATCTAGGTATTTGTGTCATCTCATACCGGAGATGGATCACTGGACCACGGTGACTATGAAAACTGAGATTTGTGCCCTGGGAGGTCACCAGTTCAGAAAAAATGAATACTTGAAGGGTTTAGATGTAACATTTCACATTTGTGGCACTGAATGTCAAAGCAGCTAAGTGAATCCATATAGTTAATGAACTTTTCCATTGTTTAATATCACCCTCTAGTGTCACATGGGTCCAGTTTCCACATATTATATTTTTCCATACTAATCTTGGTTTCTTGCCTCTAGCTCTTAATAGTATTACCTTGCAGATGCAGCAGCAGCCACGCTAGCTGTCATGCTTCTGGGAAAGAGACAAGAGAAGCCGGCTTTTGAGAGGTGGATTTGCCAAGACATCAGGCTTCGAATACTTCTCCCAGGGAGTTTAGGAAACTTTCATCCTCCTTCCTTTTATGCATGTCTGGGTGAGAAGTCTTGGAATACAGTTGCTTCTTTCACCCATGAGCAGGAAGTGCCATGTTTGTTGGGGAGATTTCCACTCCTGATGCTGTATTTGCAGTAGATTGGTCAGAACAGACAGCTTATTTTGAAGTAAGACCAGATAGATACTTTGAATGTTAATAAGTCACCAGGACTGGATGACATTTGCTTGAAAGTCCTGAAGGAATTCAAATGTGAAATTGCGGACTGCTGGCCAAGCTGTATAAACTGTCTTTAATGTCTCTGTCCAGAGCCCTGATGGATTGCCAGTGTAACCCCCACAATAAAATATGAGCAGTGTGGGCTGTTCTGGTCTCCTTCAAGAAAGATGATGGAGTTAGAAAAGGTAAAGAGAAGGGCAACTACAGAGATCATGGGGATGGAATACTTGTCTGGTGAGGAATCACTGGAGAGTCTGCAGCTCTTCAGTTTGGAGTTGGTAAGGCAGAGAGAAGATATGGCTGAGGTTTATAAAATCATAAAGATGGTGAATAAAGTGAATGAGGATCTGTCCTTCATGAAATTTTGCAACATGATAACTAGATGGTACACAGGGAAGTTAGTATAAGAGGAATTAAAACAAAAAAGAAAAATAATTTCTTCATACAGCACTGAGTAAACTTGTGCAACTTGATGTCACAGAAGGTTGTAGAAGCCAAAGAGATCAGTGGGTTCAAAAAGGGATGAAACACATTTATGATACTACAAGAATTGGGCAGGGTTGCACCCTCTAGCTTTCATAACACAAGACTTCTAAATGCTGGATCAGGGAAATAGACTGCAGAAAGCGGCTAGGCCTGTGCTCTTAAGCATCATCTCTTACTCCTGCTATTGGAGGTAAAACACTGGGTTAGGTGGATCGTTGGTTTAATAAGGCATTTCTTACATTCTTAATTACTTTCAAGCCTGAGATATCCAAGGTCGATTCACTGTGGCTACAGTTCTTGGGAGATAATTTCCTCCTGAGACAGCAAGGTGGACCAGACTGCCTTTGTCAGAGAAGTAATCCCTTTCCCTCAACAGGTTGAGAAAAGTTGGAGAAATTCCTTAGTATCCCTCAGTTACTGAAGAATTGTTTTCTGAAAGATTGACTTGCTGCCCACTGCTCTGACACCATCCTGCAGACAAAGCATTCCCAGGTGTCTCTTTAAGAGAAACATCAAGCAAACCAGGATGTTACAGTTTAGGGCTAGTCTCCTTTCCATCTCCGGACACCTGTCCTGTAAGATCTCTTATCCACCTAGCAGACAAGCTCCCTCCTATCTCACCTCCTTGACCCTTCTGAAAGCTCACTCACCAGCTAATTGAATAGGAGGTATGGGAATTTGGGGGGATAAATGGTTGTGGAGTGGGGCCACAGAACTTATTGCCTTGCTAGTTTTGCCCAAGGGGTGCTGCAGCATATTAATGTCACCAAAGCATTTCATTAGTGGAATGAATGAGAACAGCTGAGACAGATCAGAATAAAAGACCCTTTAATTCTATAGCCTGGCTGTGAGACTATCCAGTGGCAAATTCCTTGTGGGAGATATAAGAGCATGGAAGTATGTAGTAAATCCCTCAAATATTCTCCTAGCCTCCAGCAGTCTGAGACAGATGTTGAATCTCTGTATTTAATAGTGCTTTTCCTCTGCAGCGTCTCTGTCCAGTTATTTTATGAAACCACATAAATGTTTATTACCCACCCTCTCCTGAGGCAAGGTGTCCACAGCTGAAGGCATGCTGCCTGGCTGGGGAAGCCTTGTGCTTGTTTTGGTCCTGCCTCTAGTGCTTGTATCTTGTCCTTTGAAGAGACAGTAAGCAGTATTATCCTTTCATCTTATTTATTCCTCAAGGAATAACCGCAAAGTTTTATTATACCTATTTATTATATCTATTACAGTTTCTCTCCCCTGTCATCTTTTCTCCAGAGAAGAAGGCGCTGTTAAAGGCAATCAGGAGCCTGTGCCACTTGATGTCTTTCAGAGCAAATTGAACAAAAATGAAGCAGGCCAGCTTGGGCACTGGGAAGCATCAACTGGCCTCGAGTGGGACCTCCCCACACTATGATGCCGTGTTGCTCCAGCCAGCACCAGAGGCCAGCTGATGTGTGTCACAAATGCGCAGCTGTGAGTGCTCCCCATGCCCCTGCCACCCAAATAGAAAGCAAGTGCTCACTGCTGACACCCCACGGGGGCCATCTCTGTCTTTCTCTCCTGATATTGACGACAACCTCAGAAGAAGCCCAGGCAATTGCTTGGCATTCGATGAGACACTGACACCAGGGATGGTGTCCCAGCAGCAGTGGTCTCCAAGGGGTGGCAGATGGTTTGCTGCTCCATGCAGATGAAGGTATAGAAATGGGGTGACATTGCACAGCAAGGATGAGCCTTCCTCAGGGAGACACAGCATCTGTTGCTTTGCAGCCATGGCTAAAGGCAGATATGAGACCATTGCAAATTTGAAAGGCGGGCAGGCACCATCATTTTCCCTTTCTTCAAAAGTGTCAGTGCCCTGAGGGTGCTAATGGGCATGGGTGGCCCTGCCCAGCCTCACCTGGGGCTCAGCTCACACCCTCACCATGTGGGACCAGGTACTCCAGGTAAGCTCAGGTCTGGGCTTTTAGTCCCTGCCTGATCTCAGCTCTGCCTGGCAGTCATCAGGTTGTGTTTGATGTGTTACCAGCACTGGGACTGTCCCTGACTTGTAGATCAGCTTCTCAGCTTGACCTCGGACCTGCTTATCACCACAAATTTGCCTGAGTTCTTGCCTCAGCAGAACTTGGCTTCCATCTCTGGGCCTGTCCCACTTGCCTTGCAGGGGCACTGTGGTGGAACAGCCCCTGTCCTGCCAGCCTTGCTATCTCACTCATCTCCTGGCTTCGTGATGTTTAGGGACCAGCTGCCCCCTCTCTGTGCCCTGACAGAAGGTAGCTTTCCCAGCAAAGCATGGTGTCTCTGCACCACTATCCAAGTCCCACTCTTCCCCTGCAGACCCAGTCATTTTTCCTGTGAAGCCCCACCACAACCTTTCCTTTCCAATGATATCTGATATCCTCAAGCTGACCAGACCCCGTCAACTCATCCTGCTGCTATGGCACCGTCTCACCAGGTAGGGGTGGGTGCTGTGCACTGAGCTGCCACCCAGACAGTCCCTAGGCCTGTACCTATGGTGACAGATAAGTCACCGAACCTCAGGGAGAATGCTGATATGCACCCTGGTTGCTGGATATTGTATATTATTTCAATCCCTGAAGGAGTGACTGGGAGGTATCCCAATGAAAAAGGTTAAAATACACCTCTTGTGAGTCCTCATCCCTGCACTGAGGTTGAACAGCACTGCCTGAGCATTGCCCTGCCCCAACGCTGCACTGAGGCCTTGGGGTCAGCGATCACCAAAGGGAGCAGCACTGCCTCTTGCAACCACCCTGCACCCAATGCACCCAACAGTGCAGTCCCCCTGCTTTGTAGCCCTGAGTGTAGTGCTGTTTCTGAGGGGAATGTGTCTGCTGGTGGACTATCTTTCTTCCCTCCTCTGTGTGTGAATGCAGGCGAGGTGGGACATTGCACCGCGCTGCCAGGAAGGCGGCCAGCAGATTCCTCAGCGATGGGGTAGCGCTGAATGACCTCAGAGCACAAGTGGTCTGTGCAGCTGGTGGACTCCTCTGAGCACCCTGCCTGTGCCGAGGAGAGCTCAGGGCCCCAGCTCCTTGTCCAGGAGGCAGCCCCCACCTTGTAGCACCCTGCAGATTGGTTTGCCTGCCTGCCTGCTGGGGCCGGAGGGGGTGCAAGTGTTTGTAGTTCACAAATTTATTAATAGAAGAAGATGTGGGTAGGCAATGGGAAAAATCAAAGAGCTATTCCCACCCCAGCATCAGACACTAAGCTGGTTCTGAAAAGGTCTGAACAAAACTCAAGTACTGGTATCCTCAAGTTCATAGCTGGGACAAACTTTCAGAAAGACAAAGGCAATCTTGGTTATATTATATTTGCAGCTCTGCCTCTGTTGACTTTGTCCAATACCTTGGTGGCCAGTGGGACAAAATGTGTGCAGCATAGGTGAGATAGGTGTAGGTGTTAAACTAACGGCGGTCCTGAAATGCCCAAGTACTGGCTTAATTAGTAAGATAGCAAGCCCTAGGGCCTCCAACAGCTGCTCTGTGCCCAGAATAAATAAATAAAGGAAATCTATTTGCTTAAATAAAACAAAACAAAACAAAACAAAACAAAAAAAACAGCTGGAAAATGAGGAATAGTGCTGTATTTAGTTCCTAGATCTGGAAGCAGGTCTGAATCAGTGACTGGAGTGGGGGAGAGAGGGACTGTGGAGTCAGGGCACTTGGGTTCCTTTCCCAGTGTTGCTCTGTAACTGTGACTTCAAGCAAGTCCTCAGGGACCCTTCTCAGTTCAACTGCTGAGTTGTGTTTGAAGTACAGGAAATAGTCTCACCCATTCTGACCCCACACGGCCAGAAGCTGTGTTCCTGGGGAGCTATGGTTACACCATACCATTTATCCCAGAGCTGAATCCTTGGATATTGGATAGGTTTCTCCTATACACTCCCACCAGCCCAACCGTAATGTTCTGCACTAGGAGCTTTGCACGCTGAAGGCCTTTCCCAATCACCGGGGCATCCTTCAAGCACAAGTGTGAAGGGGCAGCCTTGAATGACATGAGACCTGTAGGTCATCAGCACCACAACCTCATTCCCCACCTTCTTATCCAGAAGCACGGGGACAACTGAAAGCCTGACTATGCTACTGCTCTTGCCCTGTATTTTCTTGCACCATCTCTGGGTGGCAGCAGACTTGCTGTTCACAGGTCTGTGATGGCAGCCCGGTGCATCTCACCTTGCTGCCCCTGTGCTGGCTGGAGCCCTGAGAGACAAGCCCTTGGTGAAACCCCTCCACCTTCAGAGAGCAGTCAGTAAGGTTCAGTCCTGTGCTGGTAACCCGGAGTACCTATGCTTATAGGTGCTATACTTCTCTCCTGTGTTAGACTGTCTTTCACCTCTGCCCCCATTGCATGACCTTGAGACAGTCACAGTTTGCACCTGATGCTCAGTGGCAGAAGCAATTGAAAAATTGAAACCAAAATGTCTCTGTCCCCTTGGTGGCCAAGAGAAAGTGCTGGTAGCCCACAGTGGCCCTCATCCCTACAGTCACAGCCATACTCTGACATGGCACATGGCCCCAGAGCAAGGACCACGCACCAAACAGAGAAGCAGCTTTGCTCCCTCATCTGCAGGGACAGCCCAAGCTGTAGGGATGGTCTGGAAAGGGTGGATCTGCTGAAGGACCCCTGGGGCTCATGATGGCCCGGCTAGAGCAGAAACAACAACTCCACCCCAATCCCTGCGACACTTCCTCCTCCACGAAGGAGGCTGATGGATGACCCCCTTCTTCCTTCTGGGCCCCTTTTTTCCTCTCCCCAGCGGTCACCTTCAGCCCCGGGGCGGTGTGCCCCCTGGACCAGAGGCTGGGGAAGGGGCGGAGCGTCACGCTCAGCCCCGTAATGCCTGGCAGCCCCTCCGGCTGCTCAGCACAGCCCAGAGGCAGCGGAGGCGGCAGAGGCGAGGCTGTCCACGGCTGTCTGTCCTGCGCCGCTGGAGAAGGTGAGAGGCTTGGGACGGACAGAGAGGGTGTGTGGGAAGAGCGGGTGCAGTCGTGGCAGGATGACACCGACTGGGTGGGCAGGTGAAGGGGCTCAGCCAAGCACCCCTCACCAACTAGCCTCCGGCTTCACGTGCTGGCTCAACGTGGAGAGCCCCAATTCCCCATGTTTGGTGCCCAGCATGGTCTTGGTGGTGGTGAGCTCCTTGGGTGTCTCTGCCCCGAAACGCTGCTCTACGTACGGGGGATCGCTCAGCGGTTGTGCCTGGTGGGACGGTGCGGCGGTACCGGCGTGTTGGCTGGGAGGAGAGCGTGATGTGGCTTGGTCCCAGAGAGATGGCTGCTGATTTCTGACCGTGGCTCTGGTTTACTGCTTCCTGGGAGACACTCATGGGGCTGTCCGTGGGGAGTCTGGTGGGTGTTTCTGCCTGAGAAGAGCACTGCACAGTGCTGAGGAGGAGATAGCCAGGCTGTTCTCCTCGGTGAGATTAAGCACTAACTTGCGGACCTGTTATAGAAAGCAGCTCGTAAATCTATCAGTAAAAAGGCCAGAAACAGCCACTGTGTTAATATGCTCTGGTCTCTTGCCTGGACTAAACATGGTCTGCGCTAGAGTGTACCTTATAGGGAAAAAAAATACACATTCTTGGGTTAAAAGCCCCAAAGATGGAGGAATATTCTTCCATACTGTTTGATGAGCTTCTTAGGGGTAAATATCCTTCTTCATAAAATTTGCATCACATCTGAGGTCTGAAATTGCCTCATTTCAGCTTTTGGGATTTGTTATAATGACTTAGTGGGAGAGCCTCTTCAACAAATTTCTAGTACCTATGAAGGTACATGCAGATCATAAAATCATTGAGTCACTTTCTCACTATCTATATAATAAGTGAAAAAAAAGGCTGCTGCCCTGTAAATTTTCTGTCAGCCCTTTTAGCATACTCATGGTTCTTTTCGTGGTTCTTCTCTGGTCTTTTTTTCAGTCAAACTGTGCACACCAGTGCTAGTCTGCTGAACTGTGGTCTCACCAGTTCCATTAAAAAGATAGCAAGCATCTGATAGCTAACTCTGTTGATCCTCAGACATCAGCTTGCCTCCAAAATGGTTGAGGAAATTTACCCTAGAGAAACCAGGCTTTCACATTACTAGATTTTTGACATTCCAAAAATATTAAAAAAAAAAAAAAGAAACAAAAAGCACACCATAAAAAGTGGATAAATAATAATGCAAGGCAGAGCAAACCAAAGGAATGCGTTTCTAATGAAAACACAAAGGCCATTGGTGCACAATATTCTCAGTTCCAGTGCAGAAGTCATTAGCAGGTGGCCAGCTCTTTAGAAATACAGCTTTCCTAACTCAGCTGATTTTCAGAGATTAAGTTTCAGGCTGTCTCAAGGCATCTGTGTGTAGAAACCTCTCCAGAAACTAAAGTTCAGTGCAAGAGGCATATTGTCTCACAACAGGTATATTCTTTTATTGTAACTAATACAAATCTAGCTATCTTCTATTGTAACTAATACGAGTAAGGCTGAATGGCTATATCTGTTTTGCTGTTGGTGGTGGTTTTGTTTGTTTGCTTGTTTTGTTCTTTTTTTTGGTTTAGAGTGAAGCTTATTTTTCAATTTAACATCTGTAAAATTCTCGTTTGTCTCTTGTGGCTGATGTTTCGTGCATCTGATCGTTTGTGGACGTTCTCCTTATCAGAGTGAATGCAAAGGTTGAATCTTCAGCATTAGTAACTCTCATACATTATTCTCTTGGACTTGTGTCTGTGTCATTGAGATGTGTATCTGTATCACTGCTGTCTATTTCTAATGCCATTCTACATCTTCCAACTCATTAAGGCCTACAAAAGAAGTAGGGGTATACCAGATCTATATTTCTGGGTTTACACAGCACCAATTCTATTTACAAAAATGCAGAAAGAATTTAGATCAGTCTGATTACCATGACATCTAACTTTTTTCTTCCCTCAATGTCAGACTAAACTTCTGTCTTTTCTGTTCATTTATAATGATTTTTTATATGTGTGTTTGCATGTACTAGTTTTGTCAAGCAAGGTGTTGATTACTTGGTCCCATTTTTGTGTTATTTGCAAGCATTTTCTCATGACTTCAGTGTTTTCTTCTAGATCATTGATAAAGGTAAATGTCCTAGAACAGAGTTGGGATTTAATGAAATTAATTGTGTAGCATGAGGACACCACTAACACATGATAATTCCCACTATACTGAGTCTTTCAAATTTGCTTGTTCTTAAATCCATTACAAACTATGTGACTTACTGATTTTGATTAATGCCAGAATGTATTTGTACAGTTTTTTTTTAGAGAATGTTCACTGGATGGGATGTTTCCAGTAGGTGCTGTATAAACAAATATGAGGCTGAGAATGGTTCAGAACCTCCACCAAAGATTTAGTTGTTAATAAAAAAATCCCTGCAGGTCAGGTCCTTACACAGCCTTGAAACAGAAACGTGGTGTTTTGATAACAACAGAGTCCCTGAGTGATCTGAATTACTGGATATGCTAAGTCTATTCAAGTAAAATGTTCTGCATTAAGGGCAGTGGAAAAGTATTGAGGTAGAAACAAGGCAGGCAGCACCCTGAAAGAGATGTGTTGGACAGAAGGTCTTAGTTTGAGAATTAGACAGAAGGTTATTGGAAGATGTTAAACCAATAAGACTTAGAGGTATCTTGATCTGACAGCATGAAGATGTTTATTAAAAACTCAAAATGTGACTACAATTTCTGGAAACATCCTACCTCTTTTTAAACTAGCTGATGTGGACATTACAGAAGCGCAGTGTGCCAGATGGTTTGGAAAGCCCAAGTAAGGTGTTGGTTAAATACAGAGGCTGAGTATCAGGCTGCACCCTGCTAATTTTACTCAATCTAAGTAGATTAAATATGTCTTTATAGGCTCTAGTCATACCTCTGACCACGATGCCTATAAACCCTGCAACAGTCAGAAGAAACTTAAAGAGCACTAGAAAAGTCTTTTCTCTAGATGAACAGCAGCAGGGAGGTAAACTGATATTAGGATATCACATAAATACATAAAACTAACACTGGCTTTTATAGCTGACCACAGTTTGCCTTTGTATCAAGCCTGCATGATTTTTGGTAAGAGGTGCCCCAAATGCTGTTGTTGGTTATTTGGTTTGGGTTAATACTCTGTAGAAGGTCAGACTAAAAATAGTCCCTACATGCTGTATGCTCAAAGATGTTTTTAATGGAGCATCTGTGATATGAGGAGATGCTGAGAAAGCTGAGGCTCTTCAGTGTGGAAGAGAGATGTCTCAGAGGGGATTTTATTAATGAGCATAAATACCTTATGGGAGGCAGTGATGAAGATGGATCCAGACTCTTCTCATTAGAGCCCATTTATAGGACAAGAGACAGTGTGCACAAATCAAAACACAAGGAATTCAATCTAAACAAACTAAAACAGCTGTGGTGTTTGTGGTTTTTGTTTTGTTTTGTTTTGCTGTGAGGGTGATCAAATACAAAGGGACACCTTCATAGAAAACTTGCCCCAGATGCCCCTGTGTGAGCAAGGGAATTGGACTAGATGATTTCAAGAGGTCCCTTCCAGCCTAAACAATTCTGTGACTCTGTGATCACAGTGCTGTTTCTGTTATAGTGAGATTACTTTGGCTCTTGACATGTATGAAGTGCTTTTCTGGGCAAAATATAGTAATCATTTTGGCTGAAGAAGCAGAGTAACATTACCTAGACTTAGACACTGTATCTCCATAGGCTAGCTCCTCCTCAGCTCCTCAGGAGTTTGGGGAGCATCTTCTGATGGTAGAACGGGTGTGAATTTCTTTCTGCTGGAATTACACACTCTTTGTGGAGTTAGGATTTCCCACATACTGACAGCCTGGAATCAGGATCTCAAGCAGGGAAGGATAGTGGAGGAAAGAACAGTTTTGAAAAGGACCCTGCCTACTGCCTTCAATACAGCACAGCCAAATGGTGAGTGCATCTTGGCCAGGGCCCTGAAAGCATCCTTCCCAGTGCTGGTCACTCTGCAAAGGGCAAATGGCACTCCAGAAGGTAACAAAGGTTACCTAGACACACAGACACACTCTGCTCAGTGGTAGCCCAAATGTAGCCCTCGCTTAACTTTCTAGCTAAATCTTAACTTCATATCAGTGCTCAGGGACAGCAAGGGCCAAATCCTGCAAACTGTTCTGGAGTGGCTGCAGCTTAGGCTTCCTTTGTATGGAGTCCTGGTCAGATAGACAGGATTGTCATTGTCTCTCAGAACACTCTACACATGTTCTCTGGCTGATCTGTTTTTCCAAGATGTCTATTTCACTTTGATTCTCTTCTCTGTACATGGACAATCTTCAATTCCATGCCAGTGACCCATGTAAGGTTCCTTGCCATTTATATTTCAGTTCATCTGAAAAGTGAGATGGAAAGACACAAGAGATTTTTGGTTATTTTTCTTGCAAAAGTTAATGGACTGAAACGAGTTGGCTCCAGCTGAGCTGGAGTGAGAACCAATATACAGAGAAGAATATCTTCCCACTCACAAAAGCAAGTTTTCACACAGTAAATAGGAGACAGTTAATGAATCATGTAATATATAGAATAGATTAATCATATATTAAATAATTAAATGCTAATAAAAGCAGATTAGTGAATATATAGGTGCTTGAAAATTATATCTCCATTGAATGATTCATTAGGTGGATGCAATGATAAGATTCCAGCCTTTGGGTTAGATGGCACTAACAGGTGGTCAGCCTACAAGGAAAGAAATTTTATCTAAGTCAAGTTGGAGAAATTAAGTTATCTGAGAACATCGTAAGCCATTTGCTGACAAGAAGTTGTATAAGACCATGAATTTGATATAGGAGAATTACTGTCTTACAGGTCTTCTTTTTATATTTTATCACAAATATAAATCTAACATATCTGGCACAAGGCAAGCTGACATCTTCCCTTTTGTTCCCCAGTTAGCGTGACTTTAGCCTTTCTAATATCATGGGGAGGTCTGTTTTTCAAAGGTCTATTACAGTTCAAGTTGTTCTCCATTTTCCTAGATAGGACTCTTTAAAAGGCTGTTTCAGATATTCTGTTTAATGCCTAAATACGACAACAGCAGTTTGCAAATGTCAGTGTCAAAGCGGACCCATACATAGGTTCTGCAGTGCCCTTGCTGTGTGCAGTTTTGCAGGCTGTTGTGTTTGAACAGTAAACAGGAGGACATCAAAGCAAAATCTCTAAAATACTTTCCAGACTGACTTTCACTGTGTCTCCCCACCCTTCCCTTGTCCGCTCCCAAGCACACATTTGTTCAATGCTGAATTCCCTATGGACTGTGCTAACTTTGGCTGCTGCTGGCTCTCACACCAAGCCAATGCCTTTTCAGAAAACCAGGGCAGTTACTTGGTACTTCTGAACTGGCTAAGTTTAGCAATACAATCTAGACAAGAAGGGAAGAGAAAAGAAGGAGAGCTCTCCCACAAGCAGCCCTACGCTCCTATAAAAATCCAGCATATTTGCAGTTTTCCTAGATTCTTTTGTGACATTACTGCATTGTACAGAATGACCAGCTTTAGCAGCAGTGGGGGCTGTAAGGTGAAGGAACTGCAATAATCTCAGGTAGAGCAATGTAAAACCTAAGGGAAAGGGCTTCATTCTTTCTGCTCCCACTCATATTCCCAGGATGCCATCTGCTTTATAGCAACCTGAGGTCCTGTTCCCTCCCCTAACAGCATCATGTCAGTCAGAATGTTACATGGGAAGAGATTTTGAGTTCGTAATTGCTGAAGTGAGCACTAGTTTTACACCACAGCTCTGTCTTACTGCACACCAAGAGGCCCAAGAATGCTACAGCACTTGGGCTCTTGAGTTGTACCCTGGACTACATTAGGCAAAGTAATGCCAACAGCTCAAGAGAGGTGATCCTGCCCCTGTGCACAGGACTGGTGAGGCCACATCAGCAGTGGGTCCGGTTCTGGCTCCCCAGCAAACGAGTGACATGGACATACTGAAGAGAGTCTGTTAAGGGCCAAAAAAGTGATTAAGGAACCAGACCATCATATGAAGAGACCCACAGAGAACTGGGACTGTTTAGCCTTGAAGGGATTACCATATCAATGTATATAATGTATAAATACCCAATGGAAGGGCGTAAAAAAGATGCAGCCAGAGTCTTCTCAGTGGTATTAAGTGACAGGACAAGTGGCAGTGGGCACAAATTGGATTTCTATTTAAGCCTAAGGAAAATCTTTTTAACCATAAATGTGATCGAACGCTGGAACAAGTAGTGGTGTCTCCATCCTTGGAGATATTCAAAACCCACCTGGACACAGTCCTTGTCAACCTGCCCTGAGCAGGAGGTTGCTCTTGGTGCTCCCCAGAGGTCTCTTCTGATTTCAGCCATCCTGCGTTTCTGTGGTTCTGTCATGCAGGCCGAGGGAGACTGAGTGCCTGTGTTCATAGCACAGGGGGATAGCAGAAGAAGCAGAGGAAAAGAGTCCTGTCACAGATACTTTGAAATGCTGCTTTGTATTAGGCTAGGAAGACCAAAAAAAGCATTTCTCTGAAATGGGTCTGAAGCAGCTGGGTCTAGCAAAAAATGCCACTGACGTCCAAGCTTCCTTCCTGCCTAAGTTTCTTGGCCACACAGATGGGTGACTTTGGGTCAGAAAGGTCAGCATAGGAGGTACTGAGCTCCCTTTGGCCTGCTTAGTGCACACCATACTCTGACTGCTAATCCCCCTTTTGTCATGCACTAGCTGTGCCTCTGCCTAAGGGTGAGTATGTCCATGCTGCTACCTTAAAGACTTCCTTCAGTAAGTGCTAGGGACAGGTTTCTCTGTTTAGAGACATGGCCTCTCTGGGGTAGGCTAAGAAGGGCAATACATTTGGGTCACACGTCGCAGTCAGGGACACTGTTCATGTTTCGCTTGTTGCTGAACACCACTGAGTGTAGATTAGGAAGAGGCCTGGTAGGCCAAGCTTTAATACAGACACATCTGGGTCTTTGAAAAGAGGGGTTCCAGGGCCTATAATTAGGGAGAGATGAACACCTAGCTGGAGGCCAGAAAGGATTAGGGGGCTAAACAAGAAAAGCTTCCCTTCAGTACAAGGACCTTGTATATAATGAGGGGCTTTGCCCAGAAGTACACTGTATAAAAGCACAGACTCAACCCCAGCACAGATGGTGCTCCATGTGGCAGAAATATCCCTGGCCATGGCATGGTTTGTGGCATGTCTGATCTGTTTTTGCTCTGTGCATGGCGTGCTGTTCCTGACCTAGGCTGTGGTGTTTCTGCAGTGTTCAGCAATGGCCGAGAGCTCAGCTGCACCAGCAACAGTGACGGCAGCACCAACCGTGCTAGATGAGCTCCTGGAGATCACGGCTCAGAGCCTGGTGCGCACCGAGGTGGCTGAGCACTATGAGGTTATTCGGGAACTGGGCAGGGGCAAGTATGGCCACGTGGTGCTAGTGACCCACAGGCAGAGAGGTAAGGAACTGACTGCACCCTATGAGCTGTTGTGCCTCGTCTCCTTTCCACTTGCCAGGACACTGTGTGGGCTAGTGGCTCCCTGGGGCTGGGTGCCAGGAGTGGCAGGGGGTGCTCAGAGGAACCAGCAGGGCAGGGGCCTTCCAGCCAGGGACCATCCCATTGATCCCAAACAGGGAGTAGGTCAAGACAGGGGGACAGCCCAGAGCAACAGGCAAGACTGAGGTGATGAGGTAGGTCCAAAGTCAAGCTGGGATGTCAATCCACCAGTCAAGATCAACAGCATTCATGGACATGCACAGGCATGGATATAATATAGCTGGAACCAGCATTCCTACAGCACAGTGTAGATGAGGAATGAAGCCTTGGGCTTGAGCTTAAATGGGGCCTCTGGGCCCATGGACAGGGATGGGGATGGATGTCCAAGGTAGAGGTGGTCAAGGTCATTAAGGCATATATGTGCTCTCAGGGCACTGGTGGTGCCTTCTCCAGCAGTCTCAGGTCAGACTGATGAGCCAGTGTAGCTTGAATTTCCCCTCCCCTACTCATTGTTCCCATGGCACGCACTGACTAGCTCAAAACTCACACAAGTAGCAGTGTCTGTTTTCATGTCTGGTATCAGTATGACATACCTCCGTACAAAACTTTGGGCCAGAGACCTCCCTGTGGCTGTGAGTTTCCACAGCCATGGCTGCCCTGTGCTCTCTCTGTCTGGTCTTGGTGTGAGTGACTTTCAGCAGGGTCTAACACATTCTTCCCATTCCTAGGGACTCCGATGGCTCTCAAATTGCTGCCCAAAGCCAGTACCAAGCTGCACACCTTCCTCTATGAGTACTGCGTGGCACTCTCCCTTGCCACCCACCCTGCTATCATTAGCATGTTTGGAATTGCAATTGAATCCAGCCAGTACTATGGTTTCCTCTATGAACCAGCACTGCACAAAGACCTCATCTCTATCATCAAACCCCGGGTAAGTGCTGCTACAAAGGCATGGGGATTGGGACTGTAGTGTTTGGCCTCTGTGCAGACTGGATGGGTCAGAGGGAGAGAGGAGTCAATGGCATAAGGTCTCCCACCTCTGGGGTCTATAGCTTTGAAAAAGATTCGAGCTTACAAGACCAGAAACTCAAAGACTCCCTAATGCAGAGTAAAGATGGGAGCCCACCACCTTGGCAGGGCTGCCAAGATACCAAGAGGGCACAGCATTGCCTGTCTCTCTCCCCATGCAGGATGGGATCCCTGAACCGGCTGCCAAGCAGTGTGCCAAGCAGCTTGTGAGTGCGCTGGAGTTCATCCACAGCCGGGGCCTCGTGTACCGTGATGTCAAGCCGGAGAACGTGCTGCTGTTTGATCCGGAGTGCCGGCGCATCAAACTGACTGACTTCGGGCTCACACGGCCCAAGGGAACCAAGCTCAAGCTGGTGGCTGGGGTAATCCCCTACACCGCCCCCGAGCTGAGCAACACCGCTGATGCCCAGGGGGTGCCCATCGACACCAGCTTGGATGCCTGGGCTTTTGGCGTGCTGCTGTTCTGCCTGCTGACTGGCTACTTCCCCTGGGAGCAAAGCCTGCCTGATGACCCTTTCTTTGAGGACTTCATGCTCTGGCAGGAGACGGGCTTGGAGGAGAACCTGCCTCGCCACTGGAAACGCCTGACAGCGGAGGCTGCCCTCATGTTGCGGAGCCTGCTGGCCCTAGATCCTGCCAAGCGTGGCCCTGTTGGCGGGGCTCTGCGCTATGTCGATTGCCCCTGGCGGCTGGAGGACGGGTGCAGTGAGGGGGCTGCTGTGAAGCCCTAAAGACTGCTCTCCATGGGGGAGGGAAGGCAAGTCTCACCCTGCAAGGAGCTTCAGGGTTGGAGGCATCAAGGTGGGCCTCCAGCAGAGCAGCTGAGAGACCATGGTAACCCCAAGAGAAACTTCTCCACAGCACTGTCCGTGCCACCACGGAGCCATGGTCCTCACCACCACTGCTCAGTGCCACCTCTTTGTACTTCCTTGGGGCTTGAAAATATCTCCTTTCTCTTGCAAGTGGTGGTCCTTGTGTGAAGCACCCACTTTCTTCCTGGTCTCTCAGGGGTGGTTTCTAGGGGCTGCAGTGCCTGTCTTGTCCTTGAAATAGAGTAAGATATTTATTTATCCTTGTGTTTCTGTATGTGGCTCATCTTCTATCATAATAAAATGGGGGCTGTTTACTGTGGGACAGTGTGGGCATGACAAAGCCTCTGGCCATCTCAAAGCAGGGGCCTCCCTGTGCTGCCTGGGTCCCTGAACGGGTGGCTTCATAGAGGTGGGATGGAGGTGCTGGGAGCCCCCAGCATGTCACTGTGGGCAGTAGCTGGGGACTCATAATGGTGCTGTGAAGGTGGTGGAAGTCACTGAGGTGGGGTTTCGGAGGACCAGCTGAGGGACCTCAGCCTCAACTTGGTAGCAGCAAGTGGATATGGCAGGGTGTTCACAGGGTGCTGTGAGGAAATAAGCACAGGAAAAGGGTGGAGGGGAGGCAGGTGTGTGTGAGGACTGGCAACGTTGATCTGTGCCTTGCCTCTGGAGCTCTAAAACATCTAGCTCTGGTTTGGCTTCATCTTTGCCACTCATATTGAGCACAGCTGTTAGCATACAGACAACTATCATGGGTTCTTGCACAAACCATTTGAGGATTTTCCTGTCAGCAGACTTAGACATAAGGCTTATCTCTAACATAAGGATGTCTTTGCTGCCCACTCTCCTCACTGTCTCTGAAGTTTGTCCTGTTTAGTCTACAGTGACCGCAACTTCTTGGGCTTCTCTTCATCTACTTTCTTTTCTTCCTGAAATGATACTTAATGCCAACCACATAAATTGCTCAATAGGAGTTTCCTTCTGAAAGCCTCCCTCATCAAAGGGACAGAGCCACAGGGAGCCACAGGTCACGCATTTCTTCACATTTGCTTATGTTGCAGACCAGATGAGAGGTGGGCTTTTCTGGATGATGGGCTGTTAACAGCAAGAGTCCCAATGGCAGTTCAGTTTCTCTCTAGCTATTTTACCTCAGGAAAATGGCCTTTTGCAAACACCATCATCCTCGATAAAGCACAACTCACCTCTCTCTCTTGAGTGGCCTAAGTGCAACTAGAAAGGTGACTTCACTGCTGTGAACATCTACATATATGATTCAGCTGAGAAGACAGTGCTGTGAGGATGGTTGGCATGGGCATCACTATGGAAGGCTAACAGAGAGCTGTAACCACAGGCCACTTTATCCATAGGAATAACCCCAGCTATATCCCCCTGGTTATTCTCCTAGCAGTCCTGCACTGTTGCCTTGCTCTCACTCCTAATCCTCCTTCAGACTGACCACTCCTAATCCCCTCAGAGCCAACCCCTCTCTGTACCAGCCTCCACTACCACTTCTTCCCTCTTCCTATCCTGAATCCTTCAGTCCCAAGGAACCATTTCCAAAACTATCCAGTTCCAACCAAGCACATTTCCCTTGTACTGCCTTCAGGACCTAAAGCAATGTCCTCTATGTGCTTTTAGATGCCTGCATAATACTGTAAAAGACCTTCTTTATCCCATTTCTCATCACTACTGTAATCCCTCCCCTCTCTCCAGCAACACTCCTTGCCTAATCTCCAAATATCCTTGTAGGCATACATTTTAATCCTGGAAAAGGATAGCAAGGGTAGAATTAGGGATTAGAAGCTCTTCTTACATTCCTACATCTTTCCAGTCCTCAGGCAATTACAGTTGGTAATCCCTTCCAGCTCTCAGCACAGTGCCATTGCCAGAAACATCCCCAGCTCAGTTTCCATTCTCAGTGACTCTGTAAATTCCAAAAAATGAATTGTTCCAACACCACACTTTCTACCATCTCAGTTTTTCTTTCACCTCAGGTCCCTTTCTCCACATGCTCTTCTGTAATTCCCAACCACCTGCTCTCTTTTTCCAGCTTCTTCTCACTCACTGGAATTTTACTCCTACTTAGCTTCCACACTAACATTCCTTTTCTACCACTCATTACCTGATGAACCCATTTTTCTTGTTTCTGTCTCATCAACATCACTACCATACTATTTTGTCCTTTTCCTGCTCCCTACATTACTCATTCCTTGTGTCTTCCTTCCAACTCTCAGCCCTACATTATCAATCAGCACAGTGCTCACCTTCAAGATACAGTTTTCTGCTGCCTGCTTCCATTTTTGATTCTTTCATTATCCCAGAACATAATAAATGATACTCAACTCTGGCCCACATAGATTGGTCTCTAATTACTCTTTGATTTCTGTAGGAATAGCATAAGAGTGTAGAAGTACCAGTGGATTTCCTGTATTTAAAAAGGAGATGCACTGAGACCAAGGGATCTATAGGCCAAGTATAGGTTAACTATTTCCAGTGAAAAACAACAGAAAATCCAATACAGGTGCTTATTAATAGAGAATTAATAAACAAGAATATGGCTTTGTGCAATGCGACCCTCGGTGTTCTATTTGATAATTGTGCTTGATGAAATCATGATTGATCAAGTAAATTCATAGTCTTCTGGTATATATTTTTTTTTTGTGAGGCATGACCTATTGATATAAATAAAATTATAGTACATTGTATTGAGTAAGAAGGTTCACTATGCAAAGTCAATAAAGCATATATTAAGTGAATTGAGAGCTTGCAACGGACAGAAGAAATGATTGTCAGTTGGGAATGCTGTTTGATTATTTTGGTTGTTTTCTGTAGGGATCAATAGCAGAATACAAACTGATCAATATTTCCATCAATGACTTGAAGGTATATACAAAACCACCAGAGACAAAAACTTTCAGATGGCAGAAACATGAATAGGCTGATAAACAGCAACAGGATCAGGCATTCCAAAGAGGTCTGGATAAATTAATAGGGTGGGTGTATTCAAACAAAATACATTATCTTAGAGGTAGAAGAAATGTGTTCCAGCACGAGCACATAGGAATAAAAAACATTCTTATAGAAGGACACCTTTGTGTTTATGAACTTTTATTGATGCTTATAAATGTCCAGTGGGAGGGTGCAAAAAAATCATCATCAGAGTCTTATTGGGTACTGGGACAAGAGGCAATAAACACAAATTGAAATATGGGAAAATTTGTTTAAACATGAGAAAAAACGGATTTATAGTGAGGGTGGTTAAGCACTGAGACAGCGAGATTCTGGTGTCTCCATCTCTGGAGACATTCAAAACATGATTGGGCAAGGTCCTGGTCAACCTGTTCCACCTGGCCCTATTCTGAGCAGGAAGATGGACTAGGTAATCTCCAGAGACCCTGTCCACCATCAGTTGTTCTGCTATTCTGCAATGTTTTTCATTTCAAAGACATTCAGTGTTGCACTTAGAGATGTGCAGGACTCCCGGTATCATTGCTTTAGACCTGCTTGGTATATTTGGATCTGCTCTGCAGAGCTGGGCACAAGGTGCAAAACTGGCTTGATGAAAAAGGATGAGCCAGGTTTTAGAGTTGATTACACATTAAAGCAAGCCTAAACTGGTGAAACACTGATATCTTTGGGTAACAAATCAAGCTGTCCAATTCCATCAGTACCAAGGCTGTTTGTTGCAGGAGCCAATCAAGCTGATGAGGATCAAGGTGAGGTGACAAAGGTGATGTGGCAGATGCTGTTTTGCAGTGACCAGTGGCAATGACCAGGACTGTTTGCCTGTCTCCTTTGTCACAGCCTTGAAACATTTGTGGAAGGGGTCTCAGCTGCCAGAAAGCTGTGCAGTGTACAGCTTAGTGATGGAATCCACAGTGTGCCTGCACCACGCACTTGATGATGGTGTGGGCAGGATTACAATGAGCACAGCAGTGAGCACAGCAAAGTGCCCAGCTCATTTTCTCAGTGGCTTACCCATAATTGCATCTGGATTTCTTAAATCAATGAACAAACAGACCTGTTGAAGCCTACCCCCAGGGGGTCTGAAAGAAGATCTGCTGGCCCCATCACCCCTGCAGCAGCTGCTGGGAGAGGCTGAATGGAAGGGAGCTGCGTGCAGACACGCCGGCCCTCTGCACGCTCTGCCTCTCACAGCAGCAAGGCTGGCCAGGTGCCCAGCGCGTAAAGGGCAACACTTCAGCTCATGTAGGCACAAGGTATGGGGCGGATCCGGTGTCGTCCCCAAAGAGGCATCAGGTGGCTGCAAAAGGGGAGGGAAAGACCTGGTACCTCACTCCTCTCCGGGATGGAATGAAGAGATAAATTGGGCAATTACGGAGCTCGCTGCGCTATGTGGGCTCTGGCTGTGGTGACTGCAGGACAAGAAGTGTGAACCCAGGCCCTAGTGCCCCCGTGCATGCATCCCACGGCTCTCAGTAGGACTCGTGGTCTGCATTTCCTGATCTCCTTGTGCACCTCATGAGGCATTCTGGCCCCTCTCCTCCACCACTGCACACTCTATATGGCTCATGAATAGCCATGCTCAGGAGCAGCCTGAGCAAAAGCCTGCACGGTGCAGGAAAGGCTGGGTACAGCACCTTTGTGTTGTGTTGCAAGGGCAGGATGATTTCAGGTTGAGCCTGGACCCTTAACCAGCAGATCCCTTGGTCACAACAATCCTTCTGGTTAGAAAGTGTTGGCAGGAAGCAGTGGAAGCCATTCACTAGGCCAGACCAAAGATGTGGAAGCAAAGGCACGTATAAGAATGAGGACCTCAGGTCTCAATAGTGGTTGAACAGGGTCACAGCCACATCATCTGGGAATTAAAATGCTAAGTCTTCAAGGGAATGCTTTGGAAAAGTACCTGGACGAACCACAGGTCAGAGCTGCCCCCAACAAACAGAGTGTGTTGTGATGCTGGCTGGACTCAGGACATGAAAGGGAGGACAGGACCAGGCTGAATGGTGGTGTCAGTGCCATCTCCCCCTTCTAGGAAGACTAAGGAAAGCCACCCTATTAGTCTGGCTGACCCAGCAGCAACAGGCAGAGCACAGGTCCAACCTTCAAGCCCTCTCCAGTTAAGCTTCTGGGCTCATATCTATGAAGCTTGCAGCCTATAATCTTCCTTCTGCCTTCTGCCACCTGCCATGTCAACTCTGACACTCACTTCCATCTCCTCCCACCTAAATCCTGCTAAGTGCCATTGCTAGGATTGTGACTGAAATTTCTTAGGAAGGTTAGTGAAGGACCAGTCCTCTGCAACCTCAGGCCAGAGAATATGATAGGGCAGATGAAAGACTGTATAGTGCCTGTTGCTGCATCCTCCCACGCTGCTTTTTCTTGAGTTTTGGCTTTCACTTCAAAGACAAAGCAGGCCCTAGCTTTGATAAAACAAGCATACAAACAAAGGACAAAATATAACCCTGCTCTGAACAAGTGTCCCTGTGAGCCCAGGAATAGAAAGAGGCAGTGGCTGGGGGATGCAGGTGGTGGGAATTTGTTACCTTTCATCCTTACTGACATAGGGGCAGGCTGGCCGTGACTGCAGCCCAGCTGCTTGCTCCTAGAGCTCCTAGAGCTGGTCTCTGATGGGAAAACATGCAATGGCTCATGGAGTTTCAGTCATCACCCTTTATTTACTGCATCTGGCATCCCTGAGTGGAGGTGTGTGAACCAGAGAAAAGTGCCTTAGGCACAGTGATCATAAGAACCGGTTCAATAATTTCCACACCTTGTAGCTTGGGTTGCAGAGTACCTTGCTACCCATACTATAATTTTAAGTCTCCTTGAGCTGTGTTGGGCTGTCAGTGCCGGTGTTGACCGCAAGATGAGAACTGACCACCACTAAATCCTGTAACTGTTCTCCAGTGTCCTGGATTTCCCTGCTCACACCCCATCCAAGGTCTGTCTGACAGCCAGCCATGCTGGCCAATGGTCTGGGCTTGCCCATATACAGGGCTGCCCGTTGCTGTGGCTGTGTTTGTGTTTTTCCCTCGGGCTGACAGGCAGCTGGGCATGTTTATAGGCCCTGTGCCTTGGCCCAGCTTTGTGCAAGAGAAGGAGGAAGGGGAATTTGGCCCGGCCCGGGGTGGTGACAGAAGGTGGTCACAGTTGTCACGCAGACTAATTGCACTTCCAACCCCTCCGCGCTGTTTACAAGCTGCCCCACACCGAGGACTCGTGTCTCTGGCTGACCCCCGTGTCTCAGGGTGGAGCAGCACGGTGTTCCTGCCCGCACACGGGGCCCTGGTAGCACCTTTTGGGTGTTAACTCAGACTGACTTGTCCCCAGGCCCTTGTCTCCAGCCCTGCTCTGTGCCTGTCTCAGCCAGTTGTGCTGGAGGGGGAGATGGAGGCCCAGCAAGGGCAGGCCGAACGCCTATCTCCTGACAGTCCTTTCTGCAGAGCCTCTCTCTGCTTTACCGTGCACCTCTCTCTGAAGCTACTGAATAGCTCCTGGCTGCTCAGCCCGCTATTGCAGGAGGAACTGAAACACATTTAATGGCTTGCACCTTTATGATGTGCTAAGCCCTGTGTCAACTACAGGTCAATTCCCTGCGGCTCATGGATCTGGACAAGTGATGCAGAGATGGGGCTGAATGAGAGAGAAGGGTGGAGCACAGAGCAAGAAAGGGAAGGAAAAGAAACAGCAGCACACAAGGAAGATCCCCAAAAGTGCTTTAGGACCTGAAGGAGGGAAGAATCCCTTGGTTAGTGCCCTTCTTCAGCATGAGGGATATTAGTCCATAGCAGCAGCATTGCCCCAGCCCCATGTACTTGGGGCCACTTTCACCACCCAGTTTGGTTAATCCAGACCCTTGAGCATAGCAGAGCTATCTATGATGGCCATGCCTCCCAAATACATGGGTGCCTATACACAATAATGCTATGAACCCTGTGCTGGGACAGTCTTGTGTCTTCCTGTGGCCGGATCCATCACATAAACCAGCAGTACAGCGTGCAATTCCTGTGTTCAATCCCTATTGACTGCTCCAAAGGCAAGGAAGTTCACCACCTGCCCATGTCGTTCAGTTTCGGGCGTTTGGGCAGGGCTCCCCTCCCTCGTACTCATAGTGCTCATAGTGCTTCAGAGAAGACTGCAGCACCTTTATCCCACCAGGGTGGCTTATCACTCAGCTAGAGGCTCATGAGAGCACTCACGTGAGGAGCAGCTGCTGGCCGGGCACTGCTGGGAGCAGTAGGATGGGCGCTTCTATTCCCAGTGCTGGAGGAGGTTGGGGCAGGGAGAAGCTGGGCCTCCTGGTGGCTCTCTGCGTGTCTTTGAAGGTAGCCACTGATAATCTCTGTTTGAGTTTGCTGTTGCTGGGCTACCCACAGGGACTGCCGAAATTGTTGGCTTCTTCTGGATAATGGAAATCTGGGGATTAAGGGGGAGCTGTGGTAGGCAGCAGTTCTGATGGCCCTGAGCAGCCTGCCACCCTCCCACAGGAACCTGGCTGCACAAGGGCACCTCAGGAATTGGATAGGGCTGGCAGAGACCTGGCTGTAACAGGATGCCCCTGTCCTTTCCTTTCCTTCCATCACTCATGGCACGTGGTATGTGGGGGCTGCCAGGTGCCAGCAGCTATAGGAATGATAGGACCTCAGGATGGGGAGGTATTGTTGCTGGAGTGGGGTAGTTTATATATATATTTTTTTAATCTCACCTGTCTTGTTGGATGTCATTGTCCACGTTTTAGCACTTGCATGACTGGCCACCCATCACCAACTGCTCCAGCATGTACATAGTCCATTGCT